TCGCAATTCGGGACTTCGGCACTTCAACACTTCGGCAACTTCGGCACTTCAGCACTTTGGCACTTCGGAAATTCGGCAACATCGGCACTTCGGAATTTCGGGACTTCTATTGCAGCCGCTTAGTAGATAACTCCCTAATTCCCACGGTATTAGGGAGTTATCTACCAAAAGGCTGAAAGACCTAAATTGCTCTTTCAGCCAAATTTACTAATACTAAGCAAAAATTGGGTGGGGGCCCTAAATACTAATAAGGGGGGGACCTAATGTCCTCCCCCCTGACCCCCACCCCTGAGCGGTGGGTGGGGGCCCTACAGTAAAATAAGGGGGGACCTAATGTCCTCCCCCCTGGCCTCCACCCCTGAGTGGCGGGTGGGGGCCCTAAATTGGAATAAGGGGGGGACCTAAGGTCCTCCCCCTGGCCCCCACCCCTGAGCAGTGGGTGGGGGCCCTAAATACTAATAAGGGGGGGACCTAATGTCCTTCCCCTGGCCCCCACCCCTTAGCGGTGGGTGGGGGCCCTAAATACCAATGGGGAGGGGACCTATTGTCCTCCCCCTGGCCCCCACCCTTGAGAGGCGGGTGGGGGCCCTAAAAAAAATGTTTACCCCCCCCAGGTGACTAGGGGTCCCCAATCCCCTAGTCACCCCTCCCCCCAAAAAAAATATCCCCCTACCTACTCCCCTCACCCTAAAAATAATCCATGTTCACCCGGCGAGGGCTCTGCGCAGACTGAGCTCTGCAGGGCGGGGGAAGGCTTATAAAGCCTTGCCCCGCCCTGCAATTAGGCTCAGAGCACTCTGATTGGTGGGTTTAAGCCATCCAATCAGAGTGATCTGACAGGTAATGAAGAGACTGACAGGTAAGTCTCTACATTTACCTGTCACAGCACTCTGATTGGTTGACTTTCCCACGCTGTGTAAAATGACACAGAGCACTCTGATTGGTGGTTTTCAAGTCAACCAATCAGAGTGCTGTGACCAGGGCCGGACTGGGGATACGAAGCAGCCCTGGAAAAAATCTATGCCAGCCCCATAAGTCATTGTGCTGTGTAGGGTATATATATATACACACACACACAATTGAAATAGTTGGCTGCACTCTCGGATTTCCTGAAAATGTAACTTTTATTGAAATATTTAAGAGAAGATCAATATTTCAGTCTCTCTTGTGGACTTTCGTCAGGATCAAATATTTCAATAAAAGTTACATTTTCAGGAAATCCGAGAGTGCAGCCAACTATTTCAATTGCCCATATATATATATATATACATATATATATATATATATATATATATATATATATATATATATAAAAATATAGGCAATTTAAATAGTTGGCTGCACACTCATGCTTACTACAGACAAGCTCACTGTACACACATGCTCACCACAGACAGGCTCCGACACACCCATGCTCCTTACAGACAAGCTCACTAACACACACACACACATATGATCCCTACAGACAAGCTCACTGACACACATACAAGCTCACTCACTAGCAGGCACACACACACACACAAACTCACTAGCAGGCACACACACACACACACACACACACAGGCTCCCTCACTAGCAGATACGTGCACACACACACAGAGGCAGACAGTCACTGACACCCAGGCAGACAGCCCCACACTCACACACACACAGGCAGACAGTCATTGACACCGAGGCAAACACCCACTCATACAAAGACAGGCAGACAGCCACACACATACACAGACAGGCAGACAGTCACACACACACAGGCAGTCACACACAGGCAGACAGTCACACACAGACAGTCACACACTCACAGACAGTCACACACTCACAGTCACACACTCAGTCAGACACTCACAGGCAGTCACACACAGACACTCACAGACAGTCACACAGACAGTCACACATTCACACAGGCAGTCACACAGACAGTCGCACACAGACAGTCACACACTCACAGGCAGTCTCACACAGACAGTCACACACTCACAGGCAGTCACACACTCACACAGACAGTCACACAGTCACACACTCACACAGACAGTCACACAGACAGTCACACACTCACACAGGCAGTCACACACAGACAGTCACACACTCACACAGAGAGTCACACACTCACAGGCAGTCACACAGAGACAGTCACACACTCACAGGCAGTCACACAGAGACAGTCACACACTCACAGGCAGTCACACACAGACAGTCACACACTCACACAGCGACAGTCACACACTCACAGGCAGTCACACAGAGACAGTCACACACTCACAGTCAGTCACACACAGACAGTCACACACTCACAGGGAGTCACACAGAGACAGTCACACACTCACAGGCAGTCACACACAGACAGTCACACACTCACACAGAGACAGTCACACACTCACAGGTAGTCACACAGAGACAGTCACACACTCACAGGCAGTCACACAGAGACAGTCACACACTCACAGGCAGTCACACACTCACACACAGTCACACACAGACAGTCACACACTCACAGGCAGTCACACAGAGACAGTCACACACTCACACTCACACACTGACCTCCTTCTTACCTCCTGCTTGGAGCTCCTGGAGGCTGGTTGTTGGGGAAGCAGGGACTCCTTCCTGCTTCCCATGCTGCAGTCAGCCGGGCCCTGCCGCAGGTAAGCCCCGCCCCTGCCGCACGCTAAGCCCCGCCCCCGTCGCACTGAGCTCCGACCCCGACGCAAATTGTTTTTTTATGATCCCGGCGGGCCGTGTGTGAGCTGTGCCGGCCGGCTCCCCTGCTCCCATGGGGCTCTGTGCGGCCGGAACTGTCAGCCCAATGATTAGGGCGGTCAGACCGGCCCCAGGTGCTGCAGCCCACCGGGAAATTTCCCGGTATCCCGGTGGGCCAGTCCGGCCCTGGCTGTGAAAGGTAAATGTAGAGACTTACCTGTCAGTCTCTTCATTTACCTGTCAGAGTACTCTGATTGGATGGCTTAAACCCACCAATTAGAGTGCTCTGAGCCGAATTGCAGGGCGGGGCAAGGCTTTATAAGCCTTCCCCCACCCTGCAGAGCTCAGTCTGCGTGGAGCCCTCCATGGGTGAAGATGGATAAAAAAAATTTGCGCTCGTTTTTTTGTTTGTTTTTTTAAGTGCGTCGGTTATAAAGGTTTTTTATTTGGCCTTTTTTGGGGGCTGAAAAAAGAAGACATCGTTTTTTAAGTTTTTTTTTTTTACAGGTACTTAGTTGAAGGTCCTCCCTCATTATTTTTAGGGTGAGGGGGGTAGATAGGGGGTTAATTTTTTTTGAGGAGGGAGGGGGTGAGTAGGGGTTTGGGGACCCCTAGTCACCTGGAGGGGTGGGTTAACATTTTCTTTAGGTCCCCCCTCCTATTGGTATTTAGGGCCCCCACCCGCCCCTCAGGGGTGGGGGCCGGGGGGAGGACATTAGGTCCCCCCCCTTATTCCAATTTAGGGCCCCCATCCGCCGCTCAGGGGTGGGGGCCAGGAGGGAGGACATTAGGACCCCCCTTTATTTAGTATATTAGTATTTTGGGCCCCCACTCACCGCTCAGGGTTGGGGGTCAGGGGGGGAGGACATTAGGACCCCCCTTTATTAGTATTAGTGGGGGCCAGGAGGGAGGACATTAGGTCCCCTCCTTATTAGTATTTAGGGCCCCCACTCGCCGCTCAGGGTTGGGGGCCAGGGGGGAGGACATTAGGTCCCCCCTTTTATTAGTATTTAGAGCCCCCACCCACCGCTCAGGGGTGGGGGCCAGAGGGGAGGACATTAGGTCCCCCCCCTTATTATAATTTAGGGCCCCACCCACCGCTCAGGGGTGGGGGCCAGGGGGGAGGACATTAGGTCCCCCCCCTTATTAGTATTTAGGGCCCCCACCCACCGCTCAGGGGTGGGGCCCAGGGGGGAGGACATTAGGTCCCCCCCCCTTATTCTGATTTAGGGCCCCCACCCGCCGCTCAGGGGTGGGGGCCAGGGGGAGGACATTAGGTCCCCCCCTTATTAGTATTTAGGGCCCCCACCCACCGCTCAGGGGTGGGGCCCAGGGGGGAGGACATTAGGTCCCCCCCCCTTATTATAATTTAGGGCCCCCCACCGCTCAGGGGTGGGGCAAGGCGGGAGGACATTAGGTCCCCCCAATTCTGATTTAGGGCCCCTACCCGCCGGTCAGGGGTGGGGGCCAGGGGGGAGGACATTAGGTCCCCCCCTTATTAGTATTTAGGGCCCCCACCAACCGCTCAGGGGTGGAGGCCAGGGGGGAGGACATTAGGTCCCCCCCTTATTTTACTGTAGGGCCCCCACCCACCGTTCAGGGGTGGGGGCCAGGGGGGAGGACATTAGGTCCCCCCCTTATTATAATTTAGGGCCCCCACCCACCGCTCAGGGGTGGGGGCCAAGGGAAAGGACATTAAGTCCCCCCCCCTATTCTGATTTAGGGCCCCCACCCACCACTCAGGGAAAGGGAAAACTGGGACAAACTCAAAGATACCAGATAAGCGACATTTAACCCGGTCCTTACCAGCCACATGGATGGGGCCTAACAGCATGGCAGGTGCGGTAGAGACGTCCTCTTTCTCGCAAATCTGACCCAGAGCCTTCGCTCCCCCCCTATGGACCGGCGGGGGATATCCCGGTCCACCCCAACTCAACCCCCCAGCCAAGCTACACTAGAGCGATATGGCTCAGCAGCCTGGAGGCTGCTAACAAGGCCTACAACATGGCGGAAGGCTCACTCACTGCAGCCCAAAGCGACATCAGGAGGGAAACTGAGCGCTGCTATAACCGCATCTTCAGCGCACTCTGGGAACGGCTAGAGGCCCTCATCCAGACCACCTATTCGGGGACCACACCAGGAGGCATGTTCCAGGGTCCGACAAGTGCAGTTGCAGGGAGTAACATGGCTTGCACCACACACCTCACTCGCGCGACGGGCAAACACCGGCGCAGACGCGCCAGCACAGAGTGGCCAAGAACCCAGAGACTCCCATGCCACACCTCCAAAGGCTGGCCCAGCATGGCGCGATGGCCCTGCAAAAAGCCAAGAGCGGCATTACCCACCTGAGAAGACGACTAAGCACAAGGCCCACAATGGCGGCAATGCCAACGCAACAGCGACCAGAGCCGCAGCCACTCAGCAAGGGGACGTTACACCCCCCCGCTCCCAAGCGACTGAACAGGCGACCTTGCAACGGCCAGGACACACCGAACCCCCCTGCAGCAGGGCTGGATGCGGCACAAAGAGGTGACACAGGTCGGAGACAGACAAAAGCAATGGGAACTGAAACTCACAGTGGCCCGGTCCATCCTACATACCCCATGGCTCACCTGGACAGAGACTGTTTAAAATGGCCCATTAAAGGCATCGGCTGACTCTCTAACCCTTCATGACTGTTGCTCCTTATCTGTTGCCGGAACAAAGACATCTGTCGACCACCCATACCACTCTTAAGGACGCTCTCCAGATCCGCAGCCCAGAGAAATCGGTTGTGCCGGGCAGGGGGACTTGCTGTGCCTCACAACTGAGATCCAAGCCGAAGCTTGCCTATATTTTACTATTTTACTATTGTTTTCTTGTCTTTATTATTTAGGTAGCTGCCTAGACAATGTTATCTCTGTCTCCCATGCCCACACGGCCCTCCACCAGGTTATTGCAGCCACAATGAGAGGCCAGCTTCCGTGGTTAACCTAATAAGCTACCTACCATGTTAACTCACCAGCCCAATGCCCACCTACTGACAGAGATAGGCTAAGCATGTTGATAGCTGACTAATACAGTCTAGACCACGAAAAAATAAAGAATTAAAAAATATATATATATATGTAAATTGTATATATTTTTTACATAATGTTCTTCTCTGTTAACTATATAGCAATATTTAGTATCAATATCTCCCACATACATTAGGAGGCTTACAAGAAATCCTTATTTATATATAGAGGACCCAGTTTTACGCCTTCCGAGGGGATCTTCCATGGAGTCGCTGTCCTTTATATAGCACAAGTGACTATAACACATTTAGGATAGGAAACCTGGTAGAAAACATAGCTGTTGACCTTAGATTATTTGACTTTCCCAAACACTGCAGACACATTTAGAATCTGCCTACATGAGCCAAGATTGCGGCATTCTAAAAGGTTCCGTGCTGAGTCAACATTGTTTCTAGACTAACTACCCAATTTAATAATAATGAGGTATTAGATGCGCTCTGTTGGCCATGTGTAAATTTTAATTGACACGATCATTGTGCTGTGCATAATATTTACACATACATTTTATTTTAATTTACATTTGTGCGTGCGCACATTTTTATTGTTTTTATTCTTATGCGCTGACCCTAGCATGTAGCAAGTAGGCTACTGGAGGGCCTCTCTCAGTTTATAGAGACAGAACAAAACAAGACAAAATATGATTTAATCAAGTCAAAGTGCTCTTCGGTTGCACTTCGAAGATCAAGGAATATCAGTTTATAATGTCTAAGACAACCGTGGATGTTTTATGTACATCTAAAAACCAGATCTACACCTAAAGAAATTTAACAAATGCACCAATGTATGGCAGAAGAATATGGATTTAGATCTGCATTATCACGTTTTAAAATATATTTCAAAAGAATACTGTTAGCTTTGAGTCTCATTGATGTATTAGGCAAGTGGTAAAACTTCCCTGGAGGTGGAAGATTAAAATCCCCAGCATAGCTATTTGTTGTAGTGAACATTGTTCATTGTTTCAGCACCTTTTGAGTCTTATTGTTTTATTTTATTTTAGCTCTGTAAAAATAAAAACCAGCAAAACAGTCAAAAGTTACATATTTCCAGGTTGGAAATGCGTCAGATGTCTTTTCTGAAAACAATAAAGGACATTTTAACAGCTGCGCTGAGCACTGGACATATGCTGTAGTGACTGACATAACCTGTTAAGTTCAGAAGAACTGCTGAATAACACAATCTGTACCCTTTCCTTCCTCCATTATATTGACAACGACTGCCTTTTCTTCCTCCATATCCTCTGCTTGGTAATATTTCACACACGGCAATCCCCTACTTACAGATGACTTGGGGAAATATTTGTCACACAATAGCTGGAAAATTGAGAAGTTCACATCAAGAGCTGTTAAGAAACATGACGCATCGCCGTAGGAAGACAAAGATATTTTTTTTGCACATTAAACGTAAGTGAGATTCACTCTGGTGCTAGACTGTGAATAATTGTAGTTAGGGCCAATGATCACCCAACTGCGCACACATTTAAAAAAATTAAACTTATACACACAACAGTTAGGTAGTTCAAATAAATATCACAGTGAATCAAACTGTAATACTTATATAAAACCAAAATCTTCTTTGAACGCTGGTTGTGCATAATAACAACAGTTTAAATGTATATGGGAAGGACTCCCATCCCATGTAGACATTTGGAAAATGCTAATTCTATTGACATGAAGAATAGTCTGATAAAGGTTTATGGAAAGGATAAAATTTACAGGTGGCAATAAGCATCTTCAGATCGATAAACCTGATGGAACCAGCACAGGAACATCAGTGTAGGTCTGTATCCTCTCTGCAACCAGCAAAGATATTTAGAAAATAAATTTGCTACGAGAAGTTTGGCAAAAGAATAGTATTAATCAAAGTTCTCACGTGTTGTTGTTGATAAACTTGACTTAACTTTCGAGTGCACTCTGACCAACTTTACCGTTGTTAATATTGATGAGTACAATTTCAAAGGCCTTGAGAACTAGTTGCATTAGCAATTTTGTTTACAAAAAAAATAAAAAATCACATTCATACACACATACATACCTAACAATACATTTAAATGAAAGGCCCTATAGGGGTTAGGATTGCTCTTTGCCCCCAGAACAGCTTAAATCCCTCTTGGAATTATTTCTCTTAAATTCCAAAATGTTTCAAGTGAGATAATGTACCATTCATCCATTAGGTGGGAATCTTCCTCATCCTTTGTGATTCAAAACGTCCCCCGGTGATTGGGGAGACCACTAATTGTGGTTGACTTCATCCTGGTGTTTGTAAAACCAAAATGGAACTTGTTTAAAAGTAAGTCGAGGGAATGTCATCCCAAAATAGAAGCATTATGAAGGAACACTGTTGTTCGTATAGGATGCACCTAGTCTTGTAAAATTACCTTTTATTCCTTGGTTGGTATTCTACTATATGGAATAATCATGGTATTTAAAGTTCTCCTAAATGATGGCTAAACATGCTATTAAGGATTTCCTGTAAAGGTTACCAGTTGGTAACAAAGATTGTAAGTTAAAAGTTTTGACTTTTGCCAAACGTAAAACAGGCTGGATTTATAAAACAAAGGGAGTCATCAGAAAATATCACCTTTTTCCATTTCACTGGAGTTCTGGTTGTATCCTCCTTGAATCATGTTAGGAATCTTTGTGTTGACCTTTTTCATTTGATTACTGTTACTTTCTTTGCACCTTGTAAATCCACACATATGCTCTACCTTAAAGTGCCTCTATCACCACAAACGTACCTTTCTCCTATGGTTTCCTCTTCTCTTGCACTCTCAGAATCTTTACTTCTATTCATCGTTTCTGATCTAGATCTCTTTAAATACATATACACTCCCAACAACACATGTGTCATAATTACCCAAACTCACCTACATGTTAATAGGACACTACAGTCCCCAAATCAACTATAGCTTAATAAAGCAATTTTGGTGTATAGGTCCTGCAGTCTCACTGTTCAGTTCTCTGCCATTTAGGAGTTAAAGCACTTTGTTTATACAGCCCTAGTCACACCTCCCTGCATGTGACTTGCGCAGCCTTCATAAACACTTCCTGTAAAGTAAGATCTAATGTTAACACTTCCTTTATTTCACAGTATGTTTTATAAAGACTTTCTTATCTCCTGCTCTGTTAATAGCTTGATATATCCTACAGGAGCCTCCTTTGTGTGATTAAAGTTCAATTTACAGACCAGGGAATAAAAACATCTAAAGTAAATTAACAACTAGTTGAAAATTAAACTTTTTTTTCCCATGTAGGCTGTGTCAGTCACAGACATGAAGATCTGGTTAGGGATGCATAAACAAAAATATGCATTCCTTTAAAAAAGGGATTTCACTCCTAAATTGTAGAGTGAAATTTTAAAAAGCTATGTTTTATAGAGTGCTAAGTCTTTTCTTAAAATGTCTCTCTAGAAAATTAACTCCAAACATCATGATTTATTTTGTGATTTGAATCCAACATAAACATTTGAAATGTTACAATCAAATGTCAAGTTGAAATAATGATGCGATGCCTTCATAACAGACCACTCACACTACTTCATCATTAAGAAAGTTGTCCTTTAAAATGCTCTTAGGAGAAAGTAAGGGTTAGCTTAAAGGGAAACTATGGCTCACTAGATGGTTCAGAAGGGGTTAAAAAAATGTTTTGTCACTTACCTGAATCCAGAGCCAATATCCCTCAGCACTGGCTCGGGGTTAAAGGTGGAGTTAACCCTCAAAGGTAATTGTTGCAGTTTATTAATACCTGCAATAGCTACCTTTGCAGGGTTAAGGAACCTGGGAATATGCACCCACGTCAATGAGCTGAAGTGGTCTGGGTACCTATAGTGTCCCTTTAAGGTTAGAAATTGACGCATGGCTAGGGTTTTTTACCATTAGGGTTAGTTATAGTTAGGAGGTGTTTTGGTTTCTTTTTTTTTTTAATTCTTTATTTTATTTGACAAAGTATTATAGAACAAGGCAAGATGTTCCGGTTTAAGCATAAACCGTGGTCAAGTATAACATAACATATTACAGCATAGGCATACAGTTGATAAGCGTGGTAGACATCTTATGTTACAATAAGTGCCTGTAGCACAGGACTCTTTATTAGGGGGCTTGGACATCACTTTTGTGCTGTCAATTTTTTATTGTATATTGAGTCAATTACAGGTGGCCAGAGCGTGAAGGTGGGTTTCTGTAGGCATTCGGTGGTGCCTATCCTAGCGCTATTGGAGGGTTTCGGGGTACCGTTGGGCGATGAGATATCTCTTAATGATGCTGTGGAGTCTCCAACTATGTTAAATACAGGTGACGGCCCTTCTGACTTGTTCCAGCTGCAAATTGTCCCCTGTATTGTGGAGCCCGCGTTCAACTCCTGCTTTGTACTAGATAGAACTGAAATACATTTTGGCCTGACTGGGCCCCCCTCCACTCCCTGGCGCCTACCTGCCTGGCGTGTGAATTCGTGCGTGTTTGCGCTGATAGTTCGCTTCAGTGTGCTATCATTGCCTGCGTGTGCTTAATGTGTATATTGTATCAAGCGGGCCCTCGTCTAAGGCGAGGACCCGGGTAAGAAGATAAGAGAAAGGTAGAGTGAAGATAGAAAGGAGGGTGGGGGGGTGGGTGGACCAGGCGCCCGGGCAGGCGGGGGGAGCCCAAGGGGACGGGGGGGGGGGAAGAAGGAGGCGGGGAGAGGGCGGCGGGAAGGGGGGAGGGCACCAAGCAGACTAGCATCTTCCACCTCTCGGACCCCCCGGGCCGCGGCCCCGCCAAGCGCAAGGACGGTTACTCCGCCAGGGGGCAGTCCTTCCAGCGTCCCCACGTCCTTTCGAAAGCCTTTTGGGTACTGCGCACCCTTGCTGTGAGGTCGTCCATTAGGCAACTATCTTTTATTCTCCCCAGGATCGCTGCCCTGGTGGGGGGCTGCATTTTTAACCAGCGTTGTGCGAGGGCTCGTCTGGCCGCCAATGTGATTTTGTTGAATAGTTTTAGGTCATATTTGGGCCATTCGTCAATAGGTCTGCCCAGGAGGTATGTCCACGGGTCAAGGGCGGGTGCCCTCTGGAATACCTGTCCCAGTATGTCTCTAACGTCCTCCCAGTACCTGCGGACGACGGGGCACCCCCACCACATGTGGATGTATGTGCCCCGCAGACCACAGTTCCTCCAGCAAAGATCAGTGGGTGTCTTTCGCATGCGATGGAGTTGTACTGGGGTGGTGTACCATCTAAAGAGGGTCTTGAAAGATTGTTCCTGGAAGGAAACACAGATGGAGGAGGCGGCCGCCGTCTCCCAGATATCCTGCCAATCCACTCCCTCTAATACCTCACCCAGGTCCCTCTCCCATTGATCAGTATATGTGAGGTTGCCCCATTCTTTGGTTTCTGAGCATATGTGCGCGTATAACAGCGTGATTAGGCTTCTGGGAGATTGCTCTCTAAGGCATATGTTTTCAAAGAAGGTGGGGGATGTGAGTGCGGCCTTTTTTGTGTGCGGTTGCCTGGCGTAGTCTGCGATCTGGAGGTATCGGAAAAAATCGGCCGGGGTTAAGTGGTGTCCCTGCTTTATGGTGTCAAATGGGATGATGGAACCCTCCACATATAGTTGGCAAGCTCTCTGCAGGCCCGTATGTTCAATGTTTCTGAAAGCTTGTGGCACTAATCCAGGTGGGAAGGCCCTGTTTCTGAGATAGGGCATGAGGGGGGAGGGGGAGGATGACAGCCGGTATTTCTGAGATGTTTGATCCCAAATGTGAATGGAGTTGGTGATGGCCGGGCAGGCTGTCCGCAGTATGGGTCTGGAATCCTTTGGTACCCAGATAAAGTATTGTGGGAGGTCGGAGCCCATGAGGAGAGATTCCAGTTCTACCCATTTCCTCGTGTCTATAGGGGAGTGCCACATTGCAATCTGGGCAAGCTGGGCTGCTAAGTAGTAGTTATGTAAGTTGGGAAGGCCTAGACCTCCCGTTCGTTTTGGGCGGTATAGCGTGTGCCTCGACACCCGATGTCTTTTATTTTGCCATATAAAATTGCCGATGGCTCTTTGGAGGTGGGCCAGGTCCGTTTTTGCGAGCGGGAGGGGAAGGGCTTGAAATAGGAAGAGGATTCTAGGGAGGAGATTCATCTTAATGGAGTGAATCCGGCCCATCCATGAGATGGGCTTGTCGACCCAATTCTCCATGTCTCTGATAAGAGTAGTTATCATGGGGGGGTAGTTGTATTTGTGCATTTTGGATGGGTCTGAAGTCAATTGTACTCCCAAATAGGTGATTGAGTGGGTTGCTATGTGGATGCCATGAGCTCTATGTATGTGAGTTATCACGTCTGGCGTTAACTCTATTGGTAAGGCACTGGACTTGGCCATGTTGGGTTTGTACCCTGAGAGTGGGCTAAATATTGCTAGGGTCTCCTGAACAGCCCTCATGGAGGTGATCGGAGACGTGAGGGAGAGGAGGACATCATCGGCATACGCCGAGACCAGGAACTTCCGTCCCTGAACCGTTATTCCCTGGATATCAGGATGAATGCGTAGCGCCTGAAGGAGTGGTTCCAGTACCAGAGCGAATAGGAGTGGGGGTGTTTTGGTTTCTTAGTGTTTGGAAGTATAGGATTAAATGGTTACTGCCTTCAAAATGTTGACTGTAACTCCCATGATTCTAAAGCAAGTGATGGAAAACAAAATGGCAAAATATTCTTATTAACATTAGGGGAGCTAAGAGTTTAGAGTAACTTAGGGTTAAGGGTATCTGCATTCAAAGATCTATAGAGTGTAACTCCTATTATTGTCATCCGGACCAAGCAAGTAATAGCAAGCAAAATGAAAAGTCTGCTTATTGAAAGCTAAACACTTAGTTCATTATCTGTGATTCAGATCTCAGTAAATGTGTCACACTGCCTCTCACTCACGTACGTCACACTACTGGTTGTCAAAACACTGTCACAAGGATTGTCACAAACTTCCACATGCAGTCACATACAGTGGCAAGAACAGCAACCATCTCCACTTCATTCGCAAGCTAAAGAGGCACAGATTGGGTGTGAGTTTGCAGAGCTATCCACTACATAACTACAATACCTATCCCCTCTCACTCCCTGCCTTCCCTCTCCCAACCATCCACTGCCTCTCTCAGCCTAACTTATCTTCTAATCTTCTTTACCTTCCTATGTTAAGAGTCAGGGTCTCTTCAGCCCTGCTTAGTACAAGGCAAAGAGATAGACAAAGATCAGACAGAAATAAAAAAAAGCGAGACAGAGAGGATCAGACTGAAAAAGAGGAAAGTGAGGCATAGACAAAAACGAGATAATGTGAGAGTCAGAACAGAAGTCCAGCTTTAACACAATGGAATGCTGGTAAATGTAGATTTTGTTATTTATTTTCTTTGGGGCTGAACTCTGTGTTTGCTTTGTGAACAGTTTATTTAGTTAGAGGGTGGCTGGCGAACGGTGTCTCTACAAGTAAATAATTCTTTACCATTCTCTACTCTCAGCTTTTCTCTCACACCTTCTCTCTAAATTGAACTGACTGTGCATATGAATGAATCTGCTTATAAAGGCATCTGTCAGACTTGACGTATTCCTTGTAAGATTTAGGACCGGCGTCAGAGGACCGCTGTTATGACCCGTACATCCTTGCAAATGGGCAAGATGGAATTTGCACAAGCCACCTCGTCAATCTGGCTAGCCCTCCTGCTAACCTACACCTTCACACAGGTAAGCCGCATACCTGTTTTGCAATACAGACAGTTATACAGAGTTTTAGGAAGCCTCAGTGAAGAACGTAATATAGGCTATCATAGGTGATTAAATGGACCAGTTATACCAGGCATTAGGGTTTTTGAAAATTTTGTACGGCACTATTAAAATGTTATATAGAGCAATAGACGCAGTTATAGGAAAATGACACAGGGAGCTGCAGAAAAACTGATTGCCAATATACTTTATATAACCATGTGATATTTACTGGGAGTAGCCATGCGGAGTAAAAAGGAGCTCTATAATAATTCTAGCATACCAAGGGTTAAATATTAGATGAACGTGCACGAAATGTATTGTGAAGTCTCAACTGGTAAGATGCCAGAGGATAAAATTAAGCATGTTGTTATTGCAGTATTTGGAATACAAAGTAATTGTCTTGTCTATTACCAATTTAAATGAAAACATGTTTTATTTTGTGTGCGTGAAAATGTATATAAATGCAAGTCAGTGATGTCATCACGCAGATTAACATAATTCTAATCTGGGTTTATTGCACTTTCAGTAAGAGATCATCATGTATTGTTCCATCGGAGAGTATGTGCTAGGGATTTAGATAGTGTCATTGGAGAATTCTGACATTTTGTTTGTTTTTGTGGGTTTTTGATTGAATCATAATCAGATAAGAAGCTATGGGTTAATCTGATGCATTGAATTCTGGGACAAGTTTGTAGAAGAAGTTGGTAAGAAAAATTCATCAAGAGTAATTTTTTTTTTAAATGCAGACAGAGGAAAAAAAACACTTTTTTAATGAAATATTTTTATTTTTTAGGTTTAATATTTTATAAAGATAGGAGATGTTCTTTAACTAACATACAAGGCTGGATGCATGATTTTATTATGATACCTATTGTTCCAGGTGCCATTTTATGGCTTTTAACACTTTTACCTCCATATGATACAGTCTGTTGTCATAACATTCTGGTCCCTAATCACGTCATTTTGTTCAGAAATATGAATTGTAAAGAACAAATAGTTATGACACTATACACCTACACTGGTCCTTAAGGGGTTAAAGCAATATGCTGAGGTTTTACTTTCCCCTTAAGCCTCTGACACATGCATTATTAGGCAAATAGTATCCAGTATCGACATCTCCCATAACGCTCTTACATCCAGAATGCTGGCAAAGCATCAGGGGAGATGTAGTCCAGAATATCTGGAGTGCCGAAGGATGCCTACCCCTGTGAGAAGCTATAAAGGAATAAGATAAGTTCTACAGAGCAGTTATACATTAATAAGATATTCTATGGGGCGGTCGTGGAGTAGTTACATAAGTTCTAGGAAGCAGTTATACAGTTATAACAGTTTAATAGAGTAACTACAGAGTAATAAGACAAGTTCTAAAATGCAGTTATATAGTAACAGGATAAGTTAGATGGACAGTTATATAATAATATGATATATTCTATGGGGCAGTGATAAAGAAGACATGTTTTAAGGGGTATAAAGAGAGCAATGTGATGCATTCTAGAGAGCAGGGGTAATAGGGTAAGTTCTGCAGAACAGTTTTTTATTATAATTTCTATAGCACCAACATATTCCGCAATACTTTACAATTAAAGAAGGGGGGAGAGGAGAAGGTGGTCCTGCTCAAACGGCTCACAATCTGTACAGTAATAAGTTCTATAAGGCAGTTCCACTCTAATAACATCATTTACAGGCAGCAGTTATACAGTGATAAAGTAAGTTCTATGTAGCAGTTATAGAAATCAAATAACTAATACGGAATAGTTATACAATAATAAAATACATAAAACAGAGTAGTTATACTGTAATAAATTCTGTGGAGCAGTTATAAAGGAATGCGTCACAACTCTAGAGGGGCGTTATGCAGTTATAAGTGAAGTTCTCTGAAATAGCTACAGACTAATAACATAAATTATATGGAGTGGTTATAGAGTAATAAGATAAATGCTTTAGGACAGTTTTACAGTAATAAGATAAGATCAGGAGGACAGTTTTACAGTAATAAGATAAGATTAGGAGGACAGTTATATAGTAATAAGATAAGATCAGGAGGACAGTTATATAGTGATAAGAGTAATAAGATCAGGAGGACAGTTATATAGTAAGATAAGATCGGGAGAACAGTTATATCATAATAAGACTCTTATTACGATATAATTGTTCTCCCGATCTTATTATAAGAGTAATAAGATCAGGATTACAGTTATATAGTAATAAATAAGATCAGGAGGCCAGCTATATAGTAATAAATAAGATCGGGATGTTTTTGGAGCAAGTTAAGGCTCTTTATATAAATTTAACCGTGAAAGTCAGAGGTCCTTACTTTGACTGTAGCGCATTCAAAATCCAAAAAGGGCACACGACAACACATCAGGGATGCCCTTTGGCACCTCTGCTCTATGCCTTATCAATCGAACCATTAGCTTTTTTTATTAGAAAAAACATTGAAATTAGAGGCATAAAGATTGGCCATCAAGAACATACTATTACATTATACGCGGAGAATGTTCTCACCTCGCTCTCTTCTCCAGGATTCTCTATATCATCCCTTTTAGATGCAATAGATCTATTCTCCTCGTTGTTGATAAACAGAGGAAGGATATGGGCGATATTGGCCAATTTTATATATATCAAAAATGTATAGGTTACTTAGGAATTAAGATCAGACCTAAAATACTGGTAACTATCACAATTAATTATAAAACCTTGTGGGGGGAACTTAATATATTATTGAATCAATGAAAGAGACTAGAAATTTCATTGATGGGAAGGTTCGGGGTATTGAAATCATATCATACTCCCAAAACTTCTATACCTGTTTAGAGCTATACCACATCAAGACTCAAATTCAATTCTGAAAAAATTCGATCTGGCATTTTCTAGCCTTTTCTGGGCATTCAAAAAAAAACTCTTAAGTACAAACCTTAAGAGAAGTACGTTACAGTATGGTTTGGGATATCAAGATATATAGCATTATTATGACTCATTCCAACTATTCCATATGCTAGCTTGGAGGAGAAGGAAGGAGACTAATCTTGGATTGGTATAATATTGAAAAATATAGAATAGGAATCTGTGAGCCATACTTATTACGTTGGTCCTCTCTCAATCTGTTAAAAAAAATTGCAGATTGAGAACCATTTAATAAAGAGTATTGTGTAATCAGCACAAAAAAATTAGGAAGGGATATAATTGTAATAACATCTTTACTAAACACACTCCTATAGAACTCTTATCTCTATATATCACAGATTTAAATTTAATACCATGAAAAGCAGTAGGTATTAATAGGTTGGGAGATATATTTAACCTAGACCAAAATATGCTATTTCCTGATGTCGTAAGAATATTTAAATTACCTGTAAAATAAAGATTTAATTATATTATAATCAAGCATTTTTTTCTTAGTAAACTCTATAGCTGACTCAAATACATGGGATGATATTTTTGATATATCATCGCAAACAAATTTGGTTTAAAAAATGTCGAATATTCTGGCTAATTCAAAAATAATCGATAAACCTAAAGCTTTTCAAAAAAAGGGAAATCGATTTAAGTTTGCCATTTTCAACTCAGACTTGGCAGCAAGCCTGGAATAGGACTAGAAAAGCAGTTAATTGTATTCATCTCCACAAACAGTTTTATACGTTGGCTCACAGATGGTATTCGGTTCCCACTCGTATAGCTAAATTCCAAATAAACTCTAGTGATTTATGCTGGAGATGTCAACAAAAGATGGGAACACAATTCCATATTTGGTGGGAGTGTTCATACCTGGATAGGTTCAAAAGTAAAATATCAGAAATTATTACAGATATATTGTATTTTCCCTATATAATAACTCCTCAGACTTTTCTCTTGCATTTATACTTCCCAGTTACAGATAAATATACCATATTTCTCATAATAAATATACTACTGGCCTTTAAGATATGTTTAGCAAGATATTGGAGAACACAAATTGTTCCATCATGGCCTGAGACTGAAACTCAAATTAAGTTCCAGGCATCCTCACAGAAATACTTTTATAATAGAGATGTTTCGACAAAAGCATTATACGACAAGATTTGGTCAAACTGGTCTGCTATATAAATTACATTTTAAACTTTATTCCCTGCAAGAACTATACTTAGTAAAACTTTTAATACTCCAGAAACCTCCAAAAATATTTTAGTTGGAGCACACCATGTTCCAAAATACTAGAGACAATAAAATGAAATAACTCGACTGATAGGATTTATGTTATTGAATGAATGTATATTTTTCTTTTTTTTTCTTCTTCCCCCTACCTCTTCTCTGATACAGAATGAAAAATGTTATGATATACACATTGTGTCGTAATATGTATCTGAGTAGAAAGACGATATTAAGAGAATGGAGAAAAGGGAGGGTGTAATTTAGTTTTATATAATTATTCACTCTTGATTATATATTTACATTTAACTATGTATCTGTATACGTCTTATATATTGTTATCTATACAATATCTACTTCTTATTTTTTTATACAAAAATGTTAATAAAGAGATATATATAAGAAAAGATCGGGAGGACAGTTATATAGTAATAAGAGTAATAAGATCAGGAGGACAGTTATATAGTAATAAGAGTAATAAGATCAGGAGGACAGTTATATAGTAATAAGATAAGATCAGGAGGACAGTTATATAGTAATAAGTTTTTTTTTTTTTAAACATGTAGGGAGATCTTGTACAGTAAAGGTCCTAGGAGCACTTTAATGGATCAGAAGAAATATTTAGAAGTCCAGTTGTGGTGGAGTACTATGATGCCTTCGTTGCATTACATTGAAGATTATGGGTTACTGGCAGATGTCAAACAAAGCAAAAGCAGACAGATAAAGTCATACAATCATTACATGGAGTAATGGGGGCAATTATAATGGACAGCTATTCAGATTTATAAAATGGTTTTCTCAAAGTAGTAGGTGTTGTCATAGGATCATCCTTAAGCCTGATAGTTTAATCCTATACGATAATGATTATATAAGAACCGCTGTTTGTAATTTGTATTTGTATACTTGTATGTATATTTGTGATATGTTTAAAATACGAAAATTTAAAAATCATAATTGAAAAAAATAAATTCAAAAATAAAAAGCAGTAGGTGGAATTATAGAACGTTTATTTCACAATAACTAGGGGAAAGCTGTTTACCTATCCATGATATAGAGCAGGGGAAGGAAATTGTCTGCACTCCAGATGTTGTGTACTACATCTCCCTTGATCCTTTGCCAGCATTTTGGCTGTGAGAGCATCATGGGAGAAATAGTCCACAACATTGGGAGGGCAGAAGATTGTCTACCTCTGACATATAGTAATAGGAGGCACTGGCGGATCCAGGGGGGGGGCAACGGGGCAATTGCCCCCCCCGAGAAATCCGCCGGTCTCCCTCTCCCCTGCCAGCAGCACATGCAGGTGCTAGCCCTGCAATGTGCCTGCGGACCGGAGGGGAGATCGGAGATCTCCCTCCCCGGTCCGCAGGCACATTGCTGACAGCCGGCAGGGGAGGGAGGGAGTGAGAGGGAGGACCCGGGAGCTCAGTCTGCAGCTCCTCCGGGTCCTCCTCTCGCGAGATTTGTAGCGTTGGCAACGCTCCAAATCTCGCGAGAGTGAACTCTAGCCCGGGAGCGCGGGCTAGAGTTCACTGTAACCACTGGGACCACCAGGGAATCCCCACTGGGACCACCAGGGATGAAAATATGTCCCCCCTCCTCCTCAATAAAGGTAAGAAGGGAGGGGGGACATATTTGTTTTTTTTTAATTAAATAAAGATATATATTTAAAAAAAAAAAGCCCCCCCCTACCCTTAACACACACACACACACACATAGCCCCCATACTGCCCCCCATACACATGCTGCCCCCATACACACATACTGCCCCCCATGCTGCCCCCACACACATGCCCCCCATACACACATACTGCCCCCATGCTGCCCCCACCATACACACATACTGCCCCCATACACACATACTGCCCCCCCATACACACATGCCCCCCCATACACACATACTGCCCCCATAAACACATACTGCCCCCATACACACATACTGCTTGATGCCCCCCATACACACATACTGCCCCATGCTGCCCCCCCATACACACATACTGCCCCCCATACACACATACTGCCCCCATGCTGCCCCCCATACACATACTGCCCCCCATACACATACATGCTGCCCCCATACACACATACTGCCCCCATGCTGCCCCCCCCATACACACATACTGCCCCCATGCTGCCCCCCCATACACACATACTGCCCCCCATGGTGCCCCCCCATACACACATACTGCCCCCCCATACACATACTGCCCTCATACACACATACTGCCCCGCATACACACACACTGCCCCCATACACTGCCGCCCCATACACACACATTGCCCACATTCACACACACACTGCAACTGTTACACACACATACTGTCCCACACATACACTGCATCCCTGACATACACTGCCCCCCCTACTCACACACTACAACCTTCACACACACACACACACTGCTCACACACTGTCCCCCTCACACACACACACACACTGCACCCCTTACACATTGCACCACACACACACCACTGCTCCTATGCCCTACTACCGCCCCATTTCCCAGCAGACCTCAGGTAAGTTGTCAAACTGTTCTTAAACGGTTTGACTACTTACTCTAGGAGGGGGTCCCGGCACTATTGACACCATAACCACTACACTGAGCTATAGTAGTTATTGTGTCTGGATTATTTCTTTAAATAATCTACAAGTGCCCCTCCCGAGATCAGGCTCTGGATCCGCCACTGATAGGAGGAGTTATAGGAAGCAAGTTCGAAGAGCAATAGATGACATAGGAAGTAATAGGAGGTGTTTTGGAAAGCAATTATAGAGAGTAATTGAAGATATATACAAGTAAATAAGACGTTTTTGGGAACAGTTAAACACAGCAATAGAATATATAAAGGTGTTGACAGGAGGATTAACATGGATTTGTTGTAGATCATTAGAATGTTTGGGGAATAATATGTGTTAGCTATATACTCATATAGCGCATTAGCAATACAGGGTGTGATTGGGAGCAATTACAAAGAGCAATATGTGTTAAAGGTGGTAATGGGAAGTGCCATATTAAACAGTATCAGGTAAAGGGAGTAAACATGAGGGGTTATAGAGATTTATTATATGATTAATATAGGAACATAGAATTAAGGGAAATGTAACAAGGAGTAGTAGTTATATGGAAGAATAAAAGTTATAGGCAGTAGTTATATAAAGAAATTAGAGTTTTTTTGAGCAATAAGAGACAATTTAGGAATATCTTATATGGTACTCTGGGAGAAGCTATAGGTAGATGGTGCAATAAGGTTTTGCTTATAAGGAAGCAAAAGGGGCTAGTCTGATAGATCAGTAAAATAGAAGAGATTACATAATATTGAGCTGCTATTTGAATCGACCAACAGAGACTGGAGGTAACCATAATATTTATATGAGGGCATAGGAAAACTAAATGGACCAGAAATTTGCAACAGTGATAAAACGTTTTGAAAGAGCAAAACAGTAGATTTGGCTGTGGGCAATGGCTTGGCGACATTAATGATTTAGGCATCATTAGTCCCTTCTTTGGGTATTGCGAAATAACGTTTAGACACGGTCGGCTAACAGCTAGCTGGTTGTAAAAATAGCCCAAGATCTGCTGATGAACTGCAGTAATGCATAATACACAAGGGAATCATTGAACCATTATATACGTTCTGTATATATTTTAAAGTCACATAAAACACCTGTCTCCAATGAAAAAATCAGTCAAATACATATGATGCTTCATCAAGCACAACACTAAAGTACTCAGATTTTGGTGAGACAAATTGGTTTTATACCCAAGAGATTCATCGTTTAGTGTGTATTTTTTAGATCATGCAAAAGTTCTTCTACTTAAAGGAACACTGCAGACTCCCCCATGTTAGGTGCAAAGGATAGGTTATGTTACATTTAGCAATGCTGTTTGTTTTTTTTAGTGCTTTTTTTCCCTTTCAATAATCATTACTTTTGTTTCATACCGTCACATTTTCTGTCATTCCTAATGACTTGCAATATTACCCTTTTTGATTAAAAATTATCCTGCCCTATCAGTCATGCCTTATCTTTCTGGATGCTGTAGTTCAACTCGAAACTTTCTACAGTAGAAAGCTGACCACTGACAACCAACAGAAGCCCTTGCTGTGCCTGTAAGTTTCTGTAAGCATCATGAGTGATCACGTCAAGTCACGGTTTGTTGATAGGTCAATGCAGAAGATGCACAGCCCAGTGTTTTGCAGCAAATGAAGGATCTTCAAATGTATATTTTCATTATTATTTATTGTTATGTTTTTAATATATTTATAGATTTGTGTATGTCACTGGCATATAAAGACATGCATCAGTTAGTTATGGAGGCTCTGTCTGCCAGGGTCCTCATGACTTTGTCCTTGGGGACACATGAGTGTACAAAACTGGCTTCAGTGGAAGATCCCACAAGATCCCAGAATCCTCCATTGATAATATGACACATGGGCAATGAAATGGCTGTTCTCGTGAGCTGTCGCTTGCAACAACTAATTGGAAATGGCAAGTTGTGGTGGTTGAACCACATCCAGTGCCACTGTTAGCCAAACACCTTACCCATAACCAAAGTTATGATATATTTTGATGGTGTTGGAATCTCAATGAAATTCCAACAAAGTCTTCATTAGCTTTTCAGAATACCTACCTTTATAAAAATAAAGCACAATAGTGCCAATTTAAACTTTTTAACTGTGTCCTCCGGAATGCCTGCTGAGTTTTGTGATAAAACAGAATCCATCTATATACAACCATTTTTTACATTCCTGAAATCTCCTTGCTATCATAGGGACCTGGCTTTCTTCATCTGACACAGCCTCCCCCACTGTCCTCTCTTTTGGAGGTCTGGTTTTCAGCCATGCACCTAGACTTGGAGACAGAGGAGGATAAGGTGTATGCATCTTGCTCTCCTCTGCTTATACATTTCAACAGAAGCCCCTTCTTCCATGTTTATTCTTTTCAACTTTCTCTCCTCTCCCTCTTTGCAAAGTAGCCATCTGTTGTCCGGTAGGTTCATGCTCAAAATCAGTTATTTGCTTGGCTCCACCACTTACATTCAGGGCTGGATGTATGTCAGGTGAATGTAGGCACAGAATTGTAAGGTGCCCTCTGCCCCCTCCCCCCAGTAAAAATAAAAGGCAGCTAAAGTAAATTTAATGAATTTATTAAATAAACTCAGTAGGGTCAGGAATACATGTTTGTATTGCTGTTAATAACACTATTTAGGTGGCCATCCACTACTTTAAAAAGCTGAAAATCTAACCTTGACATAGTGCATCTCTATGAGGAATGTAGAGTGTGGACACGCTGAACATCAGTGATGCACAGTGTGCAGCATTGACACAAGAAACACCTCTATGGGCTACCTGAATTACTGCTACTGGAGGTGTGCCTTTTTCTCTGAAAAGGCAGTGTTTACAGCAAAAAGCCTGCATGGACATACTATACACACCAGAACAACTACATTAAGTTCTGGTGAGTATAATGTCCCTTTAACCCCTTAAGGACCAAACTTCTGGAATAAATGGGAATCATGACATGTCACACATGTCATGTGTCCTTAAGGGGTTAACTGGTCATTGCAGGTATAAAAACATTTTTAAAAATATAAAAACATGTATTCAAGTTGAAATCTATTAGTTTAGTGAGTGCATGCAGCTGTGTAAACACATGCAGGGTCAAACAGAAGTGGTCAGGGTAAAGGGTGGTTTCAAGTTAGAAAGGTGTTAACTTTAGAGTGAATAGTGTCAATTTCAGAGTTAGATTACACAGAGTGTTTAGAGGATTTGAAGGTTGATATAGCTTACAGTTATCTTATAAAGGATGTTTAGGATTTGATTTAGGGATAAATTTAGTATTAGTGTACACGGGGTATTTCATTTTTAAGAGAAGTTAAACCTAGGATGAGAGTAAAGTGTTTATTTTTTTGGTTCAGGCTTTGAGTCCAAGTCTTCACGGAATAATCTTGATCTTTATATGATCCTCAAAGGGCACATGCAACAAAGTGCTGCCATACGGTCTCAAAGGCAACATAGCCCCAGCAAAAGAAATCTTGCAAATTTCAAGTGTAAAAACTGAAATGGGCAAGCCCTACTTTGGACCCTGTAACTTTCCCAAACCCCATAAAACCTGTACATGGGGGTTACTGTTGTACTCGTGGGAGAACATAGAATATGTATATTTTATTGCAGTTAAAGCTAATGGTATTTAAAATGCTGCGCAGAACTTGGAAAATAACCACATTTCTTAATTTCTCAAAATTTTTATTTTTTTATTTTATTCATTTCAAATTATGTTTCATATACCGTGTTTCCCCGAAAATAAACCCTACCCCGAAAATAAGCCCTAGTCTGATTTTCGGGGTGGGCTGCAATATAAGCCCTACCCCGAAAATAAGACCTAGGCATTGCACCTTTGCGGCGAGACTTCCTTCTTCTACTGTAGGAGGAGCGTTGCGGGCCGCGGCATCGCGCAACGTGATGACGACATTTCGCAGCGCCGTCAGTCTGCCTTCACGGATCTTCAGCGGAAGGATCCATTTCCGGGCGGTGAGGCACCCAGTGGTCGGACTCGGCAAGGAATCTTTGAAATGTGAGTACCGGTAGATATTTTATGTCTGGGACTGAATTAATTAAAGGGGGCGGGGGGTGAATTAATTAAAGGGTGGGCTAAAGGGGGGTGAATTAATTAAAGGGTAGAGGGGGGTGAATTAATTAAAGGGGTGGTGAATTAATTAAAGGGTGGGCTGGATTAATTAGAGGGGGTGAATTAATTAAAGGGGTGGTGAATTAATTAAAGGGTGGGCTGGATTAATTAGAGGGGGTGAATTAATTAAAGGGGTGGTGAATTAATTAAAGGGTGGGCTGGATTAATTAGAGGGGGTGAATTAATTAAAGGGGTGGTGAATTAATTAAAGGGTGGGCTGGATTAATTAGAGGGGGGTGAATTAATTAAAGGGGGGGTGAATTAATTAAAGGGTAGGCTGGATTAATTAGAGGGGGGTGAATTAATTAAAGGGGGAGAATTAATTAAAGGGTGGGCTGGATTAATTAGAGGGGTAAATTAATTAAAGGGTGGTGAATTAATTAAAGGGTGGGCTGGATTAATTAGAGGGGGGTGGATTAATTAAAGGGTGGGCTGGATTAATTAAAGGGGGGTGGATTAATTAGAGGGGGTGGATTTATTAAAGGGGAGGGGTGGATTAATTAGACAGTATGGTATTTTGATCCCCAGACAAGATGAGTGCAAAGAGAAAGAGCTGTACATACTGGTAACGTAAATAAATAAGCCCTACCCTGAAAATAAGCCCTAGTGTGTTTTTTGTGACTAAAATTAATATAAGACCCGGTCTTATTTTCGGAGAAACACGGTATAAATATTTGATGTGAAATGGAATCCTTATTTCTCTTGAACACAATTATATATAATGAGTGTCGGTGCACTTAAAGGAACACTACTTTTTTTTTTTTTACACACTACTCTTAGGGTTGCCATCTAGTCGGTATTAATTTGAGACTGCCTGGCCGGTGTCGATATTGTAGTTATACTGGCAATACAAATGCCGGTATTTTTTTCAGTATAAACAGAGATTACTCTGAAATACCAGCACCGGCCAGTGTGTGGAGAGAAGCAGGGATAGGAAGTTATAGCATATACCTGCATCTCTCTACTCACTAATCCGCTGGGGAAGCAGCTACACAGCACAGAGAGTCCAGACTGCAGCTTCCAGCCTGCAGAGACAGCCTATAGCTCAGAGAAGTGAAGAATGGGGAAGAGGCTGCAGGGGACACTGTGAGACACGGGGACACTTGGAGACATGGGGACACTGAGACACTAGGGACTCAATGTCCCTAAGTGTCTTAGTGTCCCCATGTCTCCCAGCCGGTGTCCCCGGTGTCTCCATGTCTCCCAGTGTCCCTAGTGTCTCAGTGTTCCCATGTCTCCCAGTGTGCCCATGTCTTACAGTGTCCCCATGTATCCCAGTGTCTCCAAGTGTCTCAGTGTCCCCATATTTCTCAGTGTCCCCTAGTGACATCGGGGCACTGGGAGACATGGGGACACAGACACTAAGGGACACTTGGCAACATGGGAACACAGAGACATGGGGCACTGAGACACTGAGATACATAGGGGCACTGTGATACATAGTCTCAGTGTCCCCCAGTGTTCCCAAGTCTCCCAGTATCCCCAAGTGTCTCAGTGTCCCCATGTCTCACAGTGTCCCCTAGTAACATGGGGGCACTGGGAGATATGGGGACACAGACACTAGGGGACACTGGTCGACATGGGGACACTGGGAGACAGGGAGACACTGGAAGCAATCCATCTATACAGCAGAATAAAACTGTAAGTAGTTTTTTGGTGATTTTACAGAATTTTCTCTTATGTCACTCCTTGTGATTTACATCATGTGATGTCACGCATACATAATTAGTTATGCAAATTAGTAAGGCATGTATTTTTTTCCAAGAATAGTGGCAACCCTAACTACTCTTCACATACTCTTGCTTAAAGGATCACTATAGTGTCAGGAAAACAAACTTGTTTTCCTGACACTATAGCAACCTTAGGACCCCCCACCCTCAGTGTCCCCCTCCCTTGGCACTGAAGGGGTTAAAACTCCTTCAGTTACTTACTTTAATCCAGCGCCGGGCTCCCTCGGCGCTGGAGAACTCTCCTCCCCCGCCGACGTCAGCTCCTGAGTGGTGCAGAGTGCGCATGCGCGGCAAGAGCAGTGCCTCTTTCCTATGGATGGTTTGAATGCACGCACTGCTTTTGCCCCGCATGAATTTCGCATCCAGCATCGCATAAACGCCCCTAGCGGCTGTCAGAAAGACAGCCACTAGAGGCTGGATTAACCCTGCAATGTAAACATAGCAGTTTCTCTGAAACTGTTCTGTTTACATCTGAAGGCTTAAAACCTGGGGGACCTGGCACCCAGACCACTTAATTGAGCTGAAGTGGTCTGGCTGACTATAGTGTCCCTTTGAGTATGGAAACTTAAGAGGGATATATGGAAACAAAACTTGTGTAGACTAGCTGAAATGAAACTAGTTAAGGTAATGCTGACTTTGGTCTCTCTAACACTGTGGCATGTTCCCTTTCTTCTACACTCACTACATCCACCTTTTCTCTGTCTCAGACTGTATCCCAGGAGCTGCTGCCCCACTAATAAGACGATAAGGAGACAAGTGGACATGTGAGTGCTAGGGGACAGTCCTTAGAAAGCATTGAGTGAGCGCATCCTTAGACGCCTTTATGCCAAGCTCAGGATGCTGTTGGCCAGCATGCATGATTGGCAGGCAGCATGACATGCATTCATGCCAGGCTAACCTTCCAATTCTTTGGGCAGACATGCCTCCTTTTTGGGCATGTTCATCCCTTTCAGGAGATCTGGTTACATGATCACGCGTCAGTGGCAGGGCCGGACTGGCCCACCGGGATACCGGAAATTTCCCGGTGGGCCGTCGGCACCTGGGGCCGGCCCTTTAAATACTGCAGCCGCCCGAGCGCTCTGTGAAGAGCCTCAGGCGGCTGCAGCTTCTCCCCTCCCCTGTAGCGTGGCCGAGCTGCACTCCGGAGTGATAGGTGCACTTCCTGTCAGTCCGGCCGGGTGCCGTTAGTGGTGCCCCAGAAACCCTGTTCCGCTGAGTTTCTGTTTTCTTAACCGGGCCGGACTGATAGTGAAGTGCACACTCAGTGTGCACCTCCTATCATCCCCGCCGGCCGGCCACCGCTGACTGGAGTGCAGCCCGGCCACGCCACAGGAGGGGTAAGAAGAGAGGGAGGAGTGGTGGGAGGAACAAGAAAAGGGGGGATAAGAAGAGGAGGGGAATAAAAAGAGGGGAGGGGGGATAAGAAGAGGGGAGGGGGGGGAATAAAAAGAGGTAAATAAGAAGGAGGGAGGATAAGAAGAGGGGAGGGGGGAATAAGATGAGGGGAGGGGAACAAGAAGAGGGGAGGGGGAACAAGAAGAGGGAGGGGGGAACAAGAAGAGGGAGGGGGGGGAATAAGAAGAGGGAGGGGGAATAAGAAGAGGGAGGGGGGAATAAAAAGAGGGGGGGAATAAAAAGAGGGGAGGGGGATAAGAAGAGGGGAGGGGGGAATAAGAAGAGGGGAGGGAGGGGAATAAGAAGAGGGGAGGAGGGGAATAAAAAGAGGGGATAGGGGGAATAAGAAGAGGGGAGGGAGGGGAATAAGAAGAGGGGAGGGAGGGGAATAAGAAGAGGGGAGGGGGGGAATAAGATGGGGGTGGGAATAAAAAGAGGGGGGGAATAAGAAGAGGGGAGGGGGGGAATAAGAAGAAGGGGCAGCTCTATAGGACAGGGGCCAAGACAGGGAGCTCTTTCACACTACGCGCGCACACACACACAATGCATCCCTATACATACACAGAAACACAACATGCTTCCCTTACACACAGAGAAACACACAATGCATCCATTACACACACACACACAATGCAACCCTTACACATAAAGACAATCCATCCTTTGCACACATACACAGAAACAGACAATGCAAACACACACACTTCTTTTCTTACATACACACAGAAACACAATGCATCTCATGCACACACATACAGACACACACCTTGCATCCCTTATGCATACAAACACAGATTCACACAATGCATCCCTTACACACAACCAGAAACACATAATACATCCCTTATACACAAATACACACTTCTTCCACTACACACAAACACACTGCATCACCTGCACAAACTGGTAACCCTAAACACTACATACCATAAGCACACATATTAGATCCTCTACAATAACACATAACACATCCCCTACACACTCCACTCCCTGTGAGCGAACTCATGGGTGGGTGGAACTTATGAGTGGGCCTTATGGGCATACTCACCGTCAGGCCCTGGGGCCCAGACCTTGAGCTGTGTAAGGGGCCCCCAAAAAATTGAGCTGCTTCCAATTCTCCCAGAACATTGAATTTTGTGACCACAGTTGCAAACAGCCTCCAGAGATCCTGTTCTACACCAGACCAGTGGAGCCAAACTGCAGCCCATCATCATCCTCATCTGCTTGTAAGTAGGCAATCTAGTATATTATTAGAGGCTGATTAACATAGGGGCTGATGGAGCTGCAGCTCTGCGCCCAGGCCCATGAAGCCCATTGATTAAAAATAAAAAAAAAAAAAAGATTTTTTTTTTTTTTTTACATTTTATTTTTCACACACTACTCTTAGGGATTCCACCTGACTTTTATTTTATTGGCACAGCCAGTATTTGGGGCTGCCTGGTGGTGCTGGTATTGCAGTGATACTGGCAATACAAATGCTGGTATTTTTATCAGTATAAACAAGAGATTACTCTGCAATACCAGCACTGGCCAGTAGGGGTCGCTGTATGTGGAGACAGGCAGGGATAGGAAGTTCCAGCATATCCCTCCCTGCCTATCTATACTCACTGATCTGTAGGGGTGCAGCTACAGAGAGTCCAGACAGCAACTCCCACCCTGCAGAGACAGCCTACAGCTCAGGGAAGTAAGGGATGGAGGAAAGGCTGCAAGGAGACATACACTGAGACACTAAGGGGACACTGGGAGACATTATGGCAGACACTGAGACACTAAGGAACACTGGGAGACATTATGGCAGACACTAAGGGACACTGGGAGACATTATAGGACCACTCTAGGCACCCAGACCACTTCAGCTTAATGAAGTGGTCTGGGTGCCAGGTCCTTCTAGGGTTAACCCATTTTTTTTATAAACATAGCAGTTTCAGAGAAACTGCTATGTTTATGAATGGGTTACGCCTTCCCCCTAATCCTCTAGTGGCTGTCTCATTGACAGCCGCTAGAGGTCCATAGGAAAGCATTGTAAATGCTTTCCTATGCGACGGGCTGAATGTGCGCGCAGCTCTTGCCGCGCGTGCACATTCAGCCCAGGAGGAGGAACGGAGGAGGAGAGAAGGAGGAGAGCTCTCCGCCCAGCGCTGGAAAAAGGTAAGTTTTTACCCCTTTCCCCCTTCCAGAGCCGGGCGGGAGGGGGTCCCTGAGGGTGGGGGCACCCTCAGGGCACTATAGTGCCAGGAAAACGAGTATGTTTTCCTGGCACTATAGTGGTCCTTTATGGCAGACACTGAGACACTAAGGGGCACTAGGAGACATTATGGCAGATACTGAGGTACTAAGGGACACTGGGAGACATGGCAGACACTGGGACACTAAGGGACACTGGGAGACATTATGGCAGACACTGAGACACTAAGGGACATTGGGAGATACTATGACACAGACACATGGGGACACAGTATCCCCATGTCTCCCAGCCAGTGTCCCTGGTGTCTCAGTGCCCCCCTAGTCTCCCAGTGACCCCTAGTCCCCCAGTGCCCCCAGTCTGCCAGTGTCTCACTGTCCCCATGTCTTCTAGTGCCTCCATGTCTCTCATTGCCTCAAGTGTCACAATGTCCCCATGTCTCCAAGCTAGTGTCTCTAGTGTCTGTGGCCCTGGTGTCTCTGTTCCCATGTCTCCCAGTGCCCCATGTCTCAATGTCCCTATGTCCCCCAGCCAGTGTCTCTAGTGTCTGTATCCCCATGTCTTCAAGTGTCCCCTATTTTCCCATTGTCACCATGTGTCCCAGCCAGAGTCCCCTAGTCTGGAAACTTAAGTGGGATGTATGGGAACAAAACTTGTGTGGACTGGCTAACAATGAATATAATTAAAGGGACACTATAGTAACCAGAACAACTACAGCTTATTGAATTTGTTCTGGTGAGTAGAATCATTACCGTCAGGCTTTTTGCTGTAAACACTGTCTTTTCAGAGAAAATGCATTCTTTACATTACATCCTAGTGATAACTTCACTGGCCACTCCTTAGATGACTGTTAGAGATCCTTCCTGGGTCATGGCTGCCTAAAATGCATCCAAACATTCAGTATCTCCTCCCTCTGCATGCAGACACTGAACTTTCCTTATAGAGATTCATTGATTCAATGTATCTCTATGAGGAGATGCTGATTGACCAGGGCTGTGTTTGAATCATACTGGCTTGGACCCTGATCTGCCTCTTTGTCAGTCTCAGCCAATCCTATGGGGAAGCACTGTGATTGGATCAGGCCACCACTTCTAATGATGTCAGCAGACTGCTTGTTTTTATGAGTCTAACAGCATGCAGAGTTACAGCTTCAGGCTTGAATATAGATTTTGCTATATTTATGGAGGCATGAGGGGTCCAGGGGGGCTAGATGGTGGTGTTAACACTATAGGGTCATGAATTCATGTTTGTGTTCCTGACCCTATAGTGATCCTTTAAGGTAATGCTGACTTTGGTCTCTAACACTGTGGCATGTTCCCTTTCTTCTACACTCACTACATACAGCTTTTCTCTGTCCCAGACTATATACCAGGAGCTTCTGCCTGCTAGTAAGAAGATAAGGAGACAAGTGGACCAGCGAGTGCTAGGGGACAGTCCTTAGAAAGGGTTGAGCGAGCGCATCATTAGATGCATTTATGCCAAGCTCAGGGTGCTGTCTGCATAGTATGCCCTTAGTTGGTCAGCTGCATGATTGGCAGGCAGCCTGACATGCATTCATACCAGGCTGGCATTCTAATTCTTTGAGCAGACATGTCCTTTTTTTTGGCATGTTTGCCCGTTTTGGCAGGTTGAGTGATTTGGGTCAGTGGCACACCCTTTTACCGTGCCCATTGACTTCCTGCTTGATTGGACGTTGCTGTTAGGGGTTATGGATTTACTTGGAAGCTGAAAACATAAATTAGAGCGAGATTAGCCTAGGGTATGTGTTTTCTTATAGTTGCTGTTCTTTCTCTCCAGCACCATCTCCATCAGATACATGACGCTTGGGAGTGTTTTACTGTTTTTGGTCGATATGATTCTGTAATTAGGCCCGTCATAATTGTCAGCACCAGGCCCACTGGGCTCTTAATCTGGCCCTGATTATTAGTGACACTAATCTATAATTTACCTCACATTAAAAGGACACTATAGCTTAATGAAGTGGTTCTGGTGTCTATAGCTGGTCCCTGCAGGCTTTTTAATGTAAACACACACTGTGTGCAGCACTGGCGTTAGTTCATATGGCAGGTCATATGGGTGGGGCATTGTGATGTGACATGTGGGGGCAGCAAATTTTTATTTTGTCTAGGGCGGCAAAAATCCTTGCACCGGCTCTGATCCTGGGCAGGTGCACCAGTCTACTTGACTGGTTTTGCCCCCCAAGCCTAAGGCTGCCAGCCCTCCCCTGGCCTCTGGGGAGGTCTTTTGGCGGCCGCTGGCGGACTTGTCCTGGCGGCCGCTGAGGGAGCTGCGCGAGCTGTGCTGGCTCTTCTCCCCAGCACACAGCTGAATGAGACCGGCGCCGGAATATGACGTCATATTCCGGCGCCATTCTCATTCAGCAGCGCGTGATGGCGGGAGTGCACTAACACAGGAAGCACCTCTAGTGACCGTCTGAGTGACTGTCACTAGCAGTGTCACTTTGAAGCAATGTAAACACTGCCTTTTGTCTGAAAAGTCAGTGTTTACGATGAAAAGCCTGTAGGGACATGCTATAGACACCAGTACCACCACATTAAGCTGTGTGCGTGTATCAATGAGCTTGTGTGTGTCACTGAAATGTCAGTGAAATTGCCTGTGTCTGCATGTGCGGATGCTTACTGTATAATTAAACGTTTTACCCTGAAAGGACCAATATTTTATATTAGAAAAAGCAATATATATATATATATATATATATATATATATATATTACTCAATCATCTGTCCTGGCAAGACTTAGCCTTACATATTACACGCGACAATATATGGCGCAGTGACTTATGGGGCTGGCACAATTTTTTTTTCCAGGGCTGCTTTGTATCCCCAGTCCGGCCCTGGTCAGTGGCCAACCTTTTACACCGCCCTTTGTCTTCCTGCTTCACTGGACACTGCTGTTAAGGGGTTTGGATTTACTTGAAAGATGAAAGCATGCATTAGAGAGAGATTAGCATATTTTAAGAGAATCTGAGTTTTCTTGTAGCTGCATCCTATGAGTTTCCCTCCGGCAACATCTCCACCAGATACATAACGCTTGAGAGGTAGGACTGTTTTAGTGTTTTTGGTCGATAAGATTCTGTACTTAGGCCCCTCATAATTGTCAGCACCAGGCCCACTGGGCTCTTAATCTGGCTCCGCATGTCAGCAAAACGCAGTCAGAGAAATTGGGAAAAAGAGGAGAAAGATGTTGGCTACAAAGATAGACAATTCCTAGTATTTTCGATTACAGTGAACTATTGTCACGTTCAGCCAGCTGTTTCGAAAGATACTGTGATAGACAGGTGGGGAAGTAGGAAGATGTGTTTCTAAGAATCATCTTCAGCCTCTGGCACATCACACTGTTATGGACTACAAAACCCATTATTCTCAGCCAGCCATTAAAAAGATACTATTTGCATATATAGAGCTGTGATTGAATTACAAGGAGCTGTAGTGCTCGAAGTCTCTCCCATAGTGTGAAATAACATATCCCTAATAACACATCCCAAAGTCTATAAAACCCTTTATTCTATACCAGGGGTCAGCAACCTATGGCACGTGTGCCTTTGCACGGCACTCGAGGCTGCCAGAGACAAACAGGAACTTCAGATATCTGCTATTGCAAACCGAGCGCTGGTTGCAATTGGTGAGAACAATCCTCAATTTACGCATTCCAGCACTTAGAGGAAGTGATCTCAGATCACTTCCTCCTCCCACTTGTGAACAGGAATCCACACTGGAGTAGAGCAGCCTGCAAAAGTTATCGTAGCTCCTGCCTTTGACCTGTACTTGGCCAGCCAGGTTCCTACTGGACCACACTGAAGCTACCCACACTGCTAGACATACACAGATCATACAAATAATTCCCCTCATACATATAATACAAACAGCCCACACACAAATAGCCCCCATAAACACAACACCATTGACAATCCACATACACGCAAACAACCCCACAAGCAGCTTCTCACATGCAATACCGGAAGCCACCCCACAAATACACACACCAACAAACATGCAATGTGACATATCATTCGCATACAAAATTCCACAAGCAGCCTCCATACACAGCCCACATTCATAGGTATCATACACAATACTTCTCATGAACATATATACAATTTAACAGCCCATATACGCACAAATACAATACTACAAAGCAACTGCTGCACCGATAAATAAGACAAGCAGAATGCTGCAACATGCACACTTTTAGAAAATAGGATCGGCACTCCAAGAGACTTCACAAATCTTGTTTTGGCACAGTACTACTAAATGGTTGCCTACCCCTGTTCTGTACTATACTATGCTGCAGAAGTCAGAATTATAAGCCAAGAGCTATGTAGAGATATCATTAGGTGGAATGTAGCAAGAGGTTATACGGAGTGACATTATACGTAGGACTAAATCTCTATATTTTTATATGGAGCAATGGGATGGACTACATGGAGATTTAGTTTTATGTGTGAATTATGAAGAAGCGGATATATTTATATTTATGAAATTATAAAAAAAAGCATTATATGGAGAGCACTACAGAATATGTTGGGTCTAAGTCATATAGTGCTCTGGGAAAGGTTGAAACGAGTGGGTCAAATAAGTGCTGTGGTGGGAACTATAAGGAGGGTGTTATATAGAAATTTAGGTGATATTACAAAGATGGAGTTTTAAGGAATCAATGATTCTATGGTGCCGTAGCAAATTAAATCAGGGTTCTATAAACCTTGATGGAGTGTTATATGGAGGGAAACGGTTTTAAGCAGATGGTTATATGGATTTACAAGAAGAAATAAAGAAGTGATTTAAACAGTGCGCTCGGGGTTGCTGAAGTTCAAAGCTGACGTTTAAAATAAGAATACTACCTGTTGGTGACCCCTGGAATGGGTTAGAAGAGCAGGAGGGGAGATTTTATGGAGCTGTGGGAAAAGTTTGAAGAGGAAGGCAGTATTGATCTGTATGGGAAATAGATATGGGGCTGTGTGAACGGATCATGTAGGACAGCATATACGACCTTGTCCGTGAGACTGACCGCTGAAAACAACATGTAATATTGAGCTCTGGTGGTGGTATGGGAAAGGCTGTAAGGGACATGTAATATTATTGCACTATGTGGAAGGAGCATGTAATACTGAATTATGTGGGTAATTAGATGATACCATGAGAAAGGATAAAGTATTGTGTAATATAGAGGTGCTGTGTACATGGTGCTATGGGAAATCCTAAAGGTGCTTATAATATAGCAACATACAGCTGGTTATATGGAACCATAGGAGAGACTGAAAAGAATAATACAGAATAATAGTGTACAGGGTTTAATAAATCACTGCAGAAGGAGATTTAAGAAAAGCTCGTTATCAGTAAATGATCTAGAACTGTATTATTAAACACATTGTAGTGACAGAAAGAGCTATGTAGTCAGTGGCTTGCAGTAACGCACATTGTATTAGAACGTGAGTTTGCTGCGGTAACATGGGTTTTTGCAGACAGTCTGGCTGCTGTGCTAAGATTATATCTGTAATAGGGGAAAAGTCCTGAGCTGCTTGTAGAGGAAAGGGTAGCAGAGGGAGGGAATACAAAAGTCAGGAACAGAGGGGGAAGGGGGGACGTAGAAGGGACAGTGGGGATGGAAGCCAATATATATTTTAAGAGAGGAAAAGGAAATTAAGAATGTACTGTATGTATTGCAATTTTTACACCATTAATAATTAGAATAATTTTATTTCTCTCTCTCTTTCTGCAGGTTTCCGGGTCACAAAGTCAGCTGACACACAAATCAGAAGGTATAATTTAGACCATTATCCAGAGAGACAGTTATTTATCACTGTAACACATACATCTGTCACTAGAATACATACAATGAGCTTACATCATAGCATGCACACCCAGCTACCTCTTGGATCAAGCTCGGTCCTCAATAACTGTGTTTCCTGTTAACATTTGTAATTGTTTGTTATTTGCGGTTATATCCCCACATTAAATTTGTAAAGAACTCGTGAATATGTTAGCGCCATATAAATGCCAAGAGAGGGCACCAAAAAAATTAAATACTTTACAAATTCCTAAATATTACAATAATACACAATAATTAGGCAAATAAACATTTTCCTACATTTTTACATTTCCCTTGCTCAGGTTCTTTACTCCTTCACCTTTTATCATTCCTCTTGGATTATTCATTTCCGAACTTTTTCCATTCTGTATTTGTAATTTTTGTGTGCTGCTCAATATCTCTCCACCAAGACTTGGTATTAGATCTCCTGGTACCCTTAGGGCTTTGCACCTATATTTATTTATCTACCTTTTCCAGCCTTTATGGGGGGCTCATTATACTAGTTGAAACCTTCTACCTGTCACTTTTCATCTAAAGTCTTATTTATTTAGCCGTTATCCTTACCATTTTCTACACTCATTAGGGCTAGAGTTTTCTACCCACATCTAATAACAATAATTAGGCAGCTTCACACATAAGAAACGTCCCCAAGTTCTAACAACATAAAATATACAAATATAAGTGTCAGCTCTTTATTATTATTATTATTTTATTATTTATATAGCGCCAACAAATTCCGTAGCGCTGTGAACCAGGGGATTATCTACTAAGCACTGACACTTGTGTTTGTATTTGCTATATAAATGCCAATAATAATAATAATACACCATCTATTACTATGCCACTAGCAAGCATGGCCTTTAATAGACTGAGTGTAGGACAGGATGAACAGTGTACAGCGCTGTGGGATTTGTTGGCAAATTATTAAATTATAATAACAAAGCTGTCAATTTGATGAAGGGGTTTAAAGTGACAGGCAGTATGTGGATGGGTGATGGGAGAGAGAGAGCATGGGGCAGGGGGTTCAGACAGGACTTTAGATTATTATTCTTTTATTATTTATATAGCGCCATCAGATTCCGTAGCGCTGTACATTGGGTGGACTAACAGACATGTAATTGTAACCAGACAACTGGACGTACAGGAACAGAGAGGTGGCGGGCCCTGCTCAATGAGCTTACATTCTAGAGGGATGATGGTGGATTGTTTATAGACTGTTAAGAAAAAGAGTGAAAAGAATGAGATGAGAGGGATCTGGTACCTGCATGTTTTAGTGTCGGCAAGGTACTGAGCGAAAGATATAGTTACACTTCTATAAAAAGATGAGGATCAAAAACACCATCAAACATGTTTTGCAAGAGAATGCATTGTTCTTTCAATGCTTTAAAGTAGCAGAATGAAGTATGAATTAATGAACCAGTCACCTTTTGGCACTTTAAGTTTTTTCTTTCCTAAGAAAAGCACAGTTTATTCCTAAAAAAGTTTTCATTTCAGGGAACATTTTCATTTTACTGGTAGAAAGGAATTGTATTTTAATTTCACAACCAATTCCCTTTGATATTGTTTCAATCAGATTATTATTGGTGAGATGCAAACCTTACGCTTTAATTTAATTCATGATCCTAATGATCTAGACAGAAATGTATATTAGTGAAAAAGAGTTTGCGAATACAAACGGTCAATTCTGACATTCCGTACTTGTACCACAATTACCTTTATGGATAAAAAAAATGTTCCTGTCTAAATATTGGTGTTAACGAAAAGGGTTATATGGCAGACAAGTCAAATAAGAACATTTGGCCTCACTGATAGATGTTATGTTTGGAGGAAATTTAATTGGTTTGAGCAGAACAGACTCATCCAAACTGTCAAGCGTCGTGGTAGGAATTTTAGGGCTGCTTGCTTACCTGACAACCTGTATGATATGCCTTATTAACACAATGGATTCTGCAGTATATCACAGGGTTCTACAGGAGAATGTGAAGCTGTACAGCGGTGAGCTCTTACTAAAACAAGGCTAACAGGATTATTCACTACAGACCTGTTCGGGTTAAAAATCTGGATATTGTTAATGACATTAAACAATGTGCGGATTTTACAATTCAGGCCCCAAATGGACATGAATTTCGTCTGGAATTCAGCCAGATCGAACGCCACCAGTTGTCTGAAACCTGACCCCAAGGCTTCAAATCTTGGCCCAGTTTCTTCAAATTGCTAGCAGCCGGTGAGCAAAATTGTTACAAACCCTTGGCAGTGCAAGGGTGATTTGTGTGGTGGCTGGTCAGTGCTTCCTAGCCAGCCGCCTCATTAATTTATTTTTTAAGTATAAATAAAAAGCTTATAAGGGTTAATAAGACCCTCATATTACTTGGGGTTGGGGCATATCTACTAAATGTGTTAAACTAGCGAATGGGCAAACATTGCTGACCAGTCATTAGAAATGGACCATCCCATGGGGGTGGAGCCTATTAAATAAAAGATTGGGGAAAATAGTTCTCGAATGTGTATTGTGTGGCGGACTTAATATAAAAACAATAGGGTTGGACAGATACCTTTCTAGCTCCCACGTGCTGACCAACTGTGGTTAGCGGATGAGAGCTATTGTAATAAAAGGGGTGGGAGACTCTTTGGCCACTAGTAGTGCTAGCAGCCTGTGGGCAAATATGGTGCAAGGGTTAATTATGTGGTGGCTGGGCAGCGCTTTCTAGCCAGATGCCATATTAAATAGTTAAACATAAATAAGTAAATAGCCTGTGGGAGTCAATAATACACCCATATTACTATAAGGGAGGTTTAAAACCTCCTTATCCCCACACCCGCCATGTGACAGGTGGGGGCATATCTACTAAATGTTTAAAATTAGCGACTGGGCAGCCATAAGACTGCCTGCTGGCAAACAGTACGTAAAATTATCATTGGTATGCATAAAAGCAAATGAACGATAATTTGCAAATGTGCATGCTACCGGATGCATTTGGTTCAGAATTTAAGTTACTTTGTACAAAATTTGAATGTGAAAACAGTGATTATTAGCTAAGAACTTTGATATTGTGAACTACTTTTGCACCTGGAAGTCAACACAGAGAGAGAAAACAGAAATTAAACGATGTTTCTACTTATTTTCATGTTTCCCCTGGCTTTGCCTACCTTGAACTGGATGATGATGTAATTCGCTAGATCTTTCATATAAATTTAAAAGAAAATTATGCATCTCAAAAAAAGTTCAACACTAAGTTAATGGTGTTTTTCAATGTTTTATTGAATGGTCTAAATTCATGATGTCACAGTTCCCCTTTCATCACTGCCATAATTCCCTTTTAATGCATTACTTCTTTATCCAAGAATATCCTTTCTGACCTTTTTAAAAGCATAATTTTAGTAACTAGGTCCATAGGTTACTCTAGCAAGTAAAGAAGGAAAAAGGGAAATGCCCCATCTGATCATTCATCAAATAGTGAATGGATTATAATTGGAATTATCATACCTGTAAAATAAAAAAAATAAAAACCAATTGGTTGAAAACCAATAAAAGGCAAAGTGTACAAAACCAAACTGATTTGGTAGGGAGATCAGAAGGTCTCCCAACCGGGTACAGCGCTCCCTTCTACTAGAAGAAAAACCTCCTGTGAGTGCAGACCAATTGTACCTCTATGTTGGAATTCAGCACTTCTGAGTTATTTAGAGCCACAGGTAACCAAGCAATTGTCTGAGTCATTGAGTAGCGCTAAACTAAAGTGAGAGGTACAAATGCTCTGCACCCACCAAAGGTGCAGACCACAGCCTACACTCACCAGACCATTAGGAATCATGATGGATTCATGTCTCCCTGTCTGGCCAAAGGTAAGCAAGAGACACATAAGACCTTATATATGGAACCCATAACACCACTGCAAATATACAGGACACACCTTAAATATCCCAAACACATACACAACATCTCAGAAAACTCACCAACCTTAGCACAGACAGCCCATATACAAGTATAAGAAGCAGCCACACTCATGCATTCCTCACAGGCCCGGATTTACCCTCCTTGCTGCCCAAGGGCCAATTTTCTCAATGCAAACTTCATATATACATGTATATTAATACATGTGAGTTATATTTTTGTGTATGATTTGTATTCTGTTTCAAATATATATACAGTGGGACCTCGGTTTACGAATTTAATGCGTTCTCTGCGACGTTTATTATTGTGAAAAATTTGTGAACCGAAACACGGTTTCCCATAGGAATGCATTGAAAACCAATTAATCCATTCTGGAGGTCAGAAAAAAGTCAAAATGAGCCGGCATGGAAACCAACCCACAATGCAGAACACACAATAAAAGGCATGCAAATGACAAAGCTCGGCTCCCTACCTTTCCACAGCTTGAGAAATGCACCAAAAAGTCCCAAAACAACTGCAAACAATTTCCAGAATGGCTCCAAAACTCGATGCAAAAGCCGCTCCAACACCTCCACACTCGACGCCACGTGCTACCCAGCATCCAGGGGGCAGTGCTATAAACCACCCAGGTGCAATGCATCCTGGGGAAACTTGCTTCGTATTGTGAAAAAAATTTGTAAACTGAGGCATTATTTTCAATGGATTTTCATTATGTTAACCGAGGCATTTGTTAACCGATGTCCCACTGTCTATATATACATTGTGACGAAGTGCCCTTCGCCACTTGTGCCTGGAGAGGACTGCTTGCCCGCCTCTTGCCCTGTGACTATGGCCCCTGGGATGTATTGCCCTTTAAAGACATGATTTGGGCATAATGGATTTGTGTTGTGCTGCTGCTGGCCCTTTAAGAACCATCTGGGGATATACTGTGGAGTTACTGGGTGGCCACCATTTCCTGTATCAGAAGCACATGGTGAGAACAATGGATGGCGGCCATTTTAACTCACAGACACTGTTTGGACTTTTCAACACGGTGCCATCTCGCCAGTATTTGGTGCACAGAGACATCGTGCAGTGGTTTTGGACTATACAGCAGGGGACACATTATAAAGTGATTGTTTTTCATTTAGCCTATATATGTTCTGCAGAATCTGCATTAAACTGTATTTTCCAAAGTACTGAACGGATCTGGGTGAATTTTGGATATGTGGTTCACCCAGATCCCCCGGTTCCAAGGATATACTTTTATGGGGTTATTGCATGTTTTGGGGTCCCTGTGTGTTTTATGAAACTGTATTAGTTCTGGCCAGCAGATAATTGAGCTTTGTGTATTGTAGAAACTCAATTATCTAGCCTGGCCCAGAGGAAGAGTTTTGTGTTGCATAAATTGTGAGTTCTGTGTGCCAGTAAATCAGTCTTGTTCCAGCATTAAGCCTTGGCTCATGTTTGGGGGAAGGGATACCTACACTCTGGGGATTGCTATAATCACTTACTCCCCAGAGGAAGCTCTTGCAATAGTTTGATTTGTTCCTGTTCCTGCTCTCTGGGGAAAGAGAGGTTCACCCACTGGAAGCTGGATCCTGGCCTTGGGTCCAGGGTGGGTGGAAACAGCAGAGACCCCGGCGCAGTTGCATCGCTGGAAGTGGGGTCTGCAGTGCTGATGGTGTCGGTTGGAGTGCTTGGAGTCCTCAGCGAGCACTAGGAGCATCGATTGGCGGAGGTACTCAGTCGGAGTGCCAGCGTTCCGTCACATTTGGTGGCAGCGGCGGGATGGCGTCCTAGTGCGAGGACCAGCAGCTCAGAGACACCGGTAACGTGTGGAGTTACGGATTTATAATTGAGGGCAACGCTAGCCTCTGCGCAGCGTCCCTACCTACAGCAACATGGAGCTAGCAAGACCCTGGACAGCAGCCAGTGAATTGCAAATCCGCCTGTCACAGTGCTATGAGGGTGCTGATTTCATGAAGGAAGTAAAGGCGCGGCTGGTCTGGTTTGGCCCAAACCCTTCAGATGAGGTGGTCCATCAAGTGATGCGCATGTTGAGTGCTGAGAACCAAGACGCACGGAACTTCGAGTACCAACTGTGGAGTTTGGGGGTATTGACACCCCGTCTCCAGCGACAGAGTGAGTTACAGGGAGAGGAGAGCAGCGACCTCCCATCCCAGCGGCAGTGCACCGTACAGAGGGAAGAGACAACCGGTCTCTCTCCCCAGCGGCGGCCTGAGTTCCAGGAGGAGGTGATGGTAGATCCCTCCCCCGTACAGCAACCAGCGTCCTGGGGAGGGGAGGCAACCGGCCTCCCTCTCCAACAGCAGCCGGAGGAGGGCGACCTCATAGACTTGTCCTGGGGACACACAGAGATGGCAAGCGGAGATGGGACCGAAGTCTCTCTGCCGGCCCTACAGGGATGCTGGGCAGTCAGCCTAGGTCCCCAGCGGCAGTATAATATCCAGGGAGAGGAGACAACTGGTCTCTCTCCCCAGCGGCGGCCTGAGTTCCAGGAGGAGGTGATGGTCAATCCCTCCACCTTACAGCAACCAGCGTCCTGGGGAGTGGGGGCAACCAGCCTCCCCCTCCAACAGCAGCCAGAGATACCGGGAGAGGGGGAAGACAAACCTAACCACACTGGCGCAGATGGGACCGCGGTCTCTGTGCCAGTCCTACAGGGAGGCTGGACGGGCGGTCCAGATCCCCAACCAACCCCGCAGGGATGCCAGGAGGAGGAGGTAAGCGAAACTTCCCCTCCCCAGCTACATCCCAACCGGGTCCTGGGGGCAGTGGATGAGCCTGCGATACCCACTGACCCCCTCCCAGCAGAAGAGCTGGCCTCTGGGCAGAGCTCTGTTAGCCTCTGCCCCCCCTTTTCCCCTGTATCAGAGCCTGACTTACCACGGGTTACCCCAGTGGAAGAGCTGGCAGCAGGGCAGAGCGCCGCTGGCCTCTGCCCCCCAAGCAACACCAGCAGTTTGCCTAGCTGCACCAGGGAGACCGAGAGTGCTGCGCTGTCCCACTACAAACATGAACCTACAGGCCAGTACCATTTATTGTGGGGGGGTTACTCTGCGTATTTTTCTTTGTGGGTGGGCTGCCCGACTAATCTAGGTACTGACCGGCAGAAGGTCAGGTACCTGTTTAGTCTTCCCCCCAAAGGGAAGATGTGTGACGAAGTGCCCTTCGCCACTTGTGCCTGGAGAGGACTGCTTGCCCGCCTCTTGCCCTGTGACTATGGCCCCTGGGATGTATTGCCCTTTAAAGACATGATTTGGGCATAATGGATTTGTGTTGTGCTGCTGCTGGCCCTTTAAGAACCATCTGGGGACATACTGTGGAGTTACTGGGTGGCCACCATTTCCTGTATCAGAAGCACATGGTGAGAACAATGGATGGCGGCCATTTTAACTCACAGACACTGTTTGGACTTTTCAACACGGTGCCATCTCGCCAGTATTTGGTGCACAGAGACATCGTGCAGTGGTTTTGGACTATACAGCAGGGGACACATTATAAAGTGATTGTTTTTCATTTAGCCTGTATATGTTCTGCAGAATCTGCATTAAACTGTATTTTCCAAAGTACTGAACGGATCTGGGTGAATTTTGGATATGTGGTTCACCCAGATCCCCCGGTTCCAAGGATATACTTTTTATGGGGTTATTGCATGTTTTGGGGTCCCTGTGTGTTTTATGAAACTGTATTAGTTCTGGCCAGCAGATAATTGAGCTTTGTGTATTGTAGAAACTCAATTATCTAGCCTGGCCCAGAGGAGGAGTTTTGTGTTGCATAAATTGTGAGTTCTGTGTGCCAGTAAATCAGTCTTGTTCCAGCATTAAGCCTTGGCTCATGTTTGGGGGAAGGGATACCTACACTCTGGGGATTGCTATAATCACTTACTCCCCAGAGGAAGCTCTTGCAATAGCTTGATTTGTTCCTGTTCCTGCTCTCTGGGGAAAGAGAGGTTCACCCACTGGAAGCTGGATCCTGGCCTTGGGTCCAGGGTGGGTGGAAACAGCAGAGACCCCGGCGCAGTTGCATCGCTGGAAGTGGGGTCTGCAGTGCTGATGGTGTTGGTTGGAGTGCTTGGAGTCCTCAGCGAGCACTAGGAGCATCGATTGGCGGAGGTACTCAGTCGGAGTGCCAGCGTTCCGTCACATACATATACATATACACACACACAATGTAAAGTACAACCCAACACGCAGAGTGAAATTCCACAGGTAAATAAATGAAGACATATAGAAAGTCCCTAAACCAATCCTTAGAATGGCAGGATAAAGACTAATAATAATTCAAGGATAGTCAGAAAGAGCCAAGGTCAAGGGAAGCCAGAAATACACTAATACGAGAGACAAAAGCCGAGTCAGGGGAGGCAGAAATACACAAGAACGATAAACATAAACAAAGTCGAGTCAAGGTAGCCAGAAAACAGAGTAGTCGAGAGCATACCGGGTCAATACAAATCAGTACCAAAAGGGACAAAATAATGCACTATAGGGACACTATTAACACTAGGAGCCACAAGAGGGTACTGTACTTTGGGCAGACTGGGTATACAGGGGATGACACACACACAGACACACTATATATAAATATTAATATAATACACACACACATATATATATATACGTATATCTGTACACATGTATAATACATAATACTCACCCACAATTTAAGAGTATTGATTTATTTTTTCAATTATATGTTTGTCCTTTGTGCAAACCCATGCACTTAGTGACCCATATGCTCATACTCACTGACCCATGCACACACACACACACTCACTGACCCTTCCTGTGCTGCTTTAGTCATCCACTAGTCCATTTCCCCTTACTACTGATCCACTGTGTGCAGGGACTGGAAGGGGAGGGAGCCTTTAGGGGGAGTCAGTGCCCCTCATTTATTCATTCCTTAATGATTCTTCCAGTTACCTTACGCTGACTTCTGATCCAACTTCAGATTTCTTCTATCTCACAACAAACCCACCATAGCCACTTTTTACTGCTTATCCAAAATCCACAGAGACATCTATAATCCACTATGCAGAACAATTGTGCCTGGAAGACATTGTTTAACTAAGTGAGCTAGTTAATTTGTTGAGAAACTTCTGCATCCCTTTGTAAAGAAACTGCCATCATTTTACAGGACATGAAGCAAACTTTATTTACCTCCATATACCATGCTAGGAAACTTGGATGTGGTATTATTATGCAGTAATGGACCCCATAAGAAAGGCCTCCAAGTGTGTTCATACTTTCTGGATAAATCAACAATATATAACGACCAACAAAAACATTTTATTCTGGCTCTCTAGTTGTGTCTTAACACATAACTATTGCATCTGTAATGGGAAGCATTATTTACAATCTAAGGGTAGTGCGATGGGGACAGCATGCGTGCCAAGCTGTGCTAACCTCTTTTTAGGGTGGTGAGAACTAACGAATGCAAATTCTTGGTGCCAGATGCACATCATAAAGTGGTACAGATATACTGATTACTTTCTACTTGTCTGACACTCCAAAGAACTTCAAATATTACTCTGATACAGTGAGGGCTGGCAAGGGAGCTACTGTCCCCAGGCCACTAGCATACAAGGTGTGTGTGTGGCAGTCACACAGCAGCATGGCTCTTCTATTTAAAATAAGTTTTGAGATGCCTGTTAACAAAATACTTAGTGAGGCAGAAGTGCATGTGCTAGCCTCGCACTATGTGGGATTATGGTCTAGTTGGTAACAATATGAGCTCAATGCCTAGATTCACCCAATGACATCTTCACGCCTTCTAACATTGGTAGATATGCAATCAGGACCAGGATTGGGAGAGCTTGAACGGGCGTGACAGAAACACCATTGACGTCTTGTCTGGAAAGAGGGCAGGGCCATCTAGAGAAGGAGAATCTCTGCCTGGCATGAATGCACGTCAGGCTGGCAGCCGCTCTGGCCTGACTATCTTAGGGAAGACTATGCAGTGAGCACTGCTGAAGCTAGTTCTGTATGGTCCTAGTGCCCTTAGAACAGAATGAGCCCACCTAAGCTGGGAACAGTTTCCTTGTGACCCCCCTGATACAAGGGACAAGTAAACCAACCCAGGATTGCTTAAAGTAACACTATAGTATTTGGAATATAAACACGTATTCCTAACGCTATAGAGTTCATCTACCTATAGCTGACCAGATTTAAAGCGGCACTGTCATGCCAAACTTACCTTTCTCTTCTTGTTTCCCCTTCTCTCCCTCTCTCAGAATCTGTTCTTATTTTCTTTATTTCTGATCTAGTAGTTTTCTTTAAAACATAAGATAAAGAAGGGACTACGCTTGACTTTCTTTGACCAAAGGAGGAGCTTAAGTCAGCTCCATTTCCTGTGTCAACTAGTAGGTTGACTACTTTCTTTGACACAGAAAAAGGAGCTAGCAAAGACAAAAAGGATTGGGGGCACATACGAAACATGCATTCTGCAGGAATGGTGCTGCCGTAGTGACCAATATTCATACATAATACTAATTAAGTTACGGCACACACACAATTTATCTTCCACATTTGGAATTAGTGTAGGACCCACCGATATGGGGGTACTGTAAAGCAGTGGTGGGCCTAATACGATATGGCCATATGGTGAAACTGAATCCCCATATTTATTTTCTTAGATGGGTGATTTTAAGTAGCCTGATAAGATTATAAGTGTGTTTTATGTGTGCGCCATAACTTAATTTGTAACATGAAATGGAGCTGACAGAAGCTCCTCCTTGGGCCAAAGAAAGTCAAGCGTAGGAAAAATACATAAGACAAAGTAGTCCATCTTATGTTTTAAAGAAAACTAGATCAAAAATAATGAAAAGAAGAACAGTTTCTGAGAGAGGAAGCGAAGAGAAAACAATAGGAGAAAGGCAAATTCGTCATGACAGTGCCACTTTAAGGTTAGTTTACTTACATCCTGCGGCACACCGGTCTCCGTGCCAAAGTTCCACCTTGTTGTATGAGATCATTAATCTTTATGATCTCAGCCAATCTAATGTTTTCCCATGAGAAAGCATTTGGAGCTAGTGTGCATGTGCAGCAAAACACAGTGTTGCAGTAGTCAAATGGCCTCTATGAAACCATCTAATGGAAAAATAGTTTTACTCTGCTATTTAGGCAGAAGAGTCTCTAGTAATTATCAATGTAAAAGCCTGCAATGGGTTAAAATGACAGGGCATGGTACCTAGACCAATCCATTGAGATGAAGTGGTCTGGGTGTCTATTGCGTTCCTTTGTCAGGAGCCTGAAATCGTGATGGTTTTACCAGATCCAAGACAGTCAGGGATATGCATTTTTCCTGGGATCCATATTTTTCACATGCTATAAAAAGGTTTATCTATATACTTTCCCCTCAGGCCTAAGGATGCCTGCTCTCCTCTGGGTACGGCATTACCAAATGGTTGCCTTTCCCTGATCTAGTGTTTGGCTAGCAAATGTATAGCCACACGTACATCTCCAGCAGCTGTAGAACATCAATTCCCATGATGCTTTTTCAACTCTAATCCTACCCTTGTTGATAAACCTTTTGGATAGTTCTGGACTACAACAGGCCTACTACAGCTTTTGGCTTGCTAATTATCACAGTATTTATCACTACCACAAATGTAAAGTGTGATCTGCACTGAATAAAGGACCACTATAGTGCCAGGAAAACATACTCGTTTTCCTGGCACTATAGTGCCCTGAGGGTGCCCCCACCCTCAGGGACCCCATCCCGCCCGGCTCTGGAAGGGGGAAAGGGGTAATAACTTACCTTTTTCCAGCGCTGGGCGGAGAGCTCTCCTCCTCCTCTCCGCCTCCGATCCGCCCCGCCGGCTGAATGCGCACACGCGCGGCAAGAGCTACGCGCGCATTCAGCCGGTCTCATAGGAAAGCATTTACAATGCTTTCCTATGGACGCTGGCGTGCTCTCACTGTGATTTTCACAGTGAGAAGCACGCAAGCGCCTCTAGTGGCTGTCAATGAGACAGCTACTAGAGGATTAGGGGGAAGGCTTAACCCATTCATAATTATAGCAGTTTCTCTGAAACTGCTATAATTATGAAAAAATGGGTTAACCCTAGCTGGACCTGGCACCCAGACCACTTCATTAAGCTGAAGTGGTCTGGGTGCCTAGAGTGGTCCTATAAGTTAACCCGCTCTCACACTGTGTTTCGCTGGATAGCTGTTAACTAGTTAGGTACACAGGGAAGCCACTATTAGAGGTGTAATGAGAAGGGTAAATAATAATGGGGGGGCGGAGCCTGGCTGGGGAGCTGATCAGACGCGTGCAGCAAGAGCTCTCGTCTGAAATCCTACTTTACTCGAAATAACCCCAGTTCTCATGCTGCAAAAGTGTTTGAAATTGCATCACCCAGGTAGGGGCTGCAAAGGGGAACATACAGAAGTCACTCTTGAAACTCTAAGCCGACAGGAATGCGGGCTGCATCGATGGGGCCTACCGCAATGACGACTAGCCTGAATAGCGGCCTGGATGGAGGTGAGGGCATGGGTGAGGCGGCCGATCGCCCGGCCCGAAACCCCCTGAAAGCAAACTCAGACACTGCGGAGGTCCACCCACGAGCCTTCTCCCCCCCCCCCTGCCGGTGGGGGATATCCCGGCACCAGCAGCATACCCACCGCTGACACTCACATCCCAAAGACTGCAAACACCACGAGTCCCTAACTCCAAAATGGCGGATACCACACGCCAGTCAGCAAACATGGAGACAAGCGGAAAATCGCCAAACGACACCCTGACTAAGCTAGATGCAATTTTTGCTGCCTTCTGGACCAGGATTGCAGAGAGGGCACTGAACACGGCTAAAGCTAATCGTACCACTCTTGCACCCACACCACCCGCACTCCCGGGCACCAAGAGGGGACGCAGAATGATAGCTGCCAGAGACCCCCCAAAGAGACACCGAAAACAGGTCCGGTGGCACAAGCAGAAACGTAGAGCCTTCACCATGACAAACACACACCCCCAATGTAAGCTGCAACAACCCCACAGCGGACTAGAGGCGCCATGCCCACCAGGACAACGCCGATCGAATGCTAAATCGCGACTTTACCACCCAGATACCTGGCACCTAGTCATATCTACACCTCTGAAGTCTCAGGAGACAGGGGCTCCCGGAGACTGCATCTGGCGACCGGAAGGGATCGGATGAACACAGACTGGAGACCGGAGCCTGCCAGGCATGTCTCGTTACAGCAGGACTTTCACAGTATGCCTTATATCGCAGGAACTGATCTCTGACCGTTAGTTCAGCATCGAGTAACAGATGTTCTTCCAATGTCTTTATTTTACCTTTACCTCTTGCAGTTACTAATGTGGTGCCTACCTTGTCTCCACTCTAAAAGCACATGCAATATTTTATTAGCCAGTCCTCACTAAAGGGGCACCTTAAGCTTGTCCAAACTGATGGTGAAGCTGCTGGTATTTCCCTGTAGTCGACAATGTAATCTCACCCTAATCATAACAGCTGTCTAGTTTATCGATGCAGTGTTCAATATTTAGAAGCCTTAGCGCAACTAACCTTGTTTTATATATATATGTTTAGTCTAGCATGCTAATATATAAACCACTGATGTTTAAAAGCCCGTTAACCTCATGTTATTTAAAAAATTTGTGCCATTTTAACTGCCACACTTTGAAATGTAATGAAAAATGCCTGCAGATGCTATCGTGGCTATGCTCGCTTGTTGTTACTTTTTGCACAAACAAAAATAAAGAATAAAAAAAAATAAAAAAATAAAAAATAATAATGGGACTGTGAATGTATTTTGCAGGACTGTCCTGGATGGATTTATATAACCGCAGCCAGTGTCAGCCTCGTTTGGTTCTTCGCAGTCTCCTAGTGGAATTCCCACAGTTTTCCGACTCCCTCTTTCTGCCGCCATGTGTGTCTGTCATGCGTTGCAGTGGGTGCTGTCTGGATGAAGGCCTAAGCTGTGTCCCTACACACACGCACAACATCACTATGCAGGTAAAAAGCAATAGCAATATAATATGACCTTATAGAAATTCTATATAATAGGAGCCACCGTTTAGAAATCTCTACGTGTATTATTATTATTTATTCCGAAAGCACAATCAAAATGGCCAAATTGCATTTTCTCCTTCCTTTAACTATTTGCCTCTCAATTGACTTAGATTGTGAGCTCTGTGGCCAATATATCCATAAGTCACTGTATATATTGACCCAGCTTTAATACTGTCTACGTATATACATGTTAGCAATATATAAGGGTAATCTTAAGGTTTGGTATCACAGTACAGGCTTTTCCCATCTCTTTTAGAAACAAATTCGAATTTATATGTTATAATTCATTATATTTTTCAGGTCATTAAAACGAAGTTGCTCCAATCAGAGCTAACAGAGATTGGGATTACCCAGCACACACGCTGTGAATGCAGGTAGGGGATAATAAACATGGGATGTGTTATAGCATATTTTATTGAGTAAGTTTGTCCAGGAGGATGGATGCCTACTTTGAATTTCCTACGATCACTAGCCTGTGCTAGATTTTATACTAGTTGTGTCTAACCTCTGGTACTGCAGCTCTTGTGGGCCCCATTTCTCAGCATCATGAATATCGGGAAGGTCTCTTTCGGAGGGGTGAAAGGCACGGAAGAATGCTGCTTTTAAACCACTTGACAAATAAAGATTGGATTTTCACCTTTACCATAGCTGTGTCCATAGTGGTACATTCTGAAGCCATACATGTGTTCTTTCCAATTTGGAGGAATCTGACACTATTTTATGTTATTATGGACATATTAGCATGTAAGTAAAGTGTGGCATTTTACACTGCATTTTTGCACAGTACTGCAGCACTTTATTGTACATTTGGAAGTGTTAGTTGCAATGCTGCACATTAGTTTTATATATATATATAAAAGTAGCATTAAAAGGCACAGTGCACCTTATTTTTGTTTTTATTATACTATGTTACATCATTATTTTAATAATGATAAACCCACCGAAATATGAATGTAGAAAACGTGCCTATCGCCAGATTGCTCCTATGATAGCATTAGCTAGAATCCCCATTACAGGTGATGTGATCTGTATGTGTTCAGAATATTTAACTGTTGATATCCAAATAAATATGGCGTTGATTGGGTCATGTGAAGAATTTCTTTGGAATGTATTTTCTAGACCAGGGGTAGGCAATCTTCGGCACACCAGATGTTGTGAACTACATCTCCCATAATGCTCTTACCGCCAATGATGATGGCAAAGCATCACAGAGGATGTAGTCCACAACATCTAAAGTGCGGATAGTTGCCTACACCTGCTCTAGACAATGGATGTCAGGCATGAGTGCGCATGTATTTATTGAGTAACCATGTATAATGTATTCTGCAACATATGTGTAACAACTACTCAGGATATATAAAGGCAGTGAGTTTTCCCTCACTAAGTTTGGTGCTTTATATAATGTTTTTCCATAAGTGACGTTCTTGATTTTTTTTTTTTTCATTTTGCAGGCCAAAGGAAGGTGTCTTGTTGAAGGCTAACAGGTGAACACATGACAGGATGGATCTAGGCTATATTATAAACCTATTTACTTCTATTTAATTTCTCACTCTTCCAATTTGTCCATTTCTCCTCTCCAAATCTCCCTCCTATCCATCTGTTATTTCCACTTGAAATAGACTGTCTGGACAAGGTGAGAAAAAAATGAAAAAAAGGAGACGTAAGGGGAAAAAGGGAAGAGAAGCCAACAAAAAAAGGTCAGTGACACCTTGTATGGGTTTGTCCAGAGAGGATTTGAAGCAAATCTAGTACTAGCATTTGACGCAACTCTGAGTATTCCACTAATAAAGAACCTGTATAAATTACTCATAGTAACCAAGTTGGAATTTCACTAAAATTCCAAGACAATCCAAAGATATAATAAGACAAAGAAGGGATTACTGTGTCTTTGTACAGGCCTGAGGTTGGGCTTTGCTGTTAACTTTTGTCAAAGTCATCGCAAGCAGCAGCTGTGGGATTCAGGCATTGTCTTGATCATCACGTGCTCTGTGGATGTTCCTGTGGTCTAGTGGCATAGTCTACTGATCTCAGTGTTGTACTCTCACGCATGCATGAAAGTACAGTGGTGACACAGTGCCTGGCAGATGAAGAGCCAGGAACTGATAGGATCCTTTGGGAGAAGATGGCATTGGCTGCAAGGGAGAACTTCAAGCATAACTAATTTCCACTGGACCTCCTGGCCTACATCAAAAAAGATCTCTAGAGCTCTGGGTGGGAAATCTTTAATTAAAGGGACATTATAGTCACCAGAGCCACTACAGCTTAATGTAGTAGTTCTGGTGCCATTTTTTCCCCCTGCAGGCTTTTTAATATAAACACTGCCTTTTCAGAGAAAAGGTCGTGTTTACTTTGCTTGCTAGTTACACTTCTAGTGGCAAATACTCAGACAGCCACTACAGATGCTTCCTGGGTCAGTGCAGAACAGTGTGCATCACTGGCTTTCAGCATCCCTATGTTCCCTACAGAGATGAATTGATTCAAAAGATGAGAAAATGCTGGTTGGTGCAGCATTTCCCCAGTCATATGCAATAGCCTCCCATGTTTTCCTATGGGAAAGCATTGGTTTGGCTGAGACCATAAAGTTTGCTTATCTCAGCCATGGAAGCATACCAGCTGTGGCAAAACCGTTGCGGTGCGAGAGAAAAAGTGAGAAAAAACATAGTTTCAAAGCAATGGAAGGTTTGCCGGGGTCTTTAATAGTTATTTGAACACTATATTGTCAGGAATGCATGTTTGTGTTCCTGACACTATATTGATCCTTGAGGTCTGCAAGGTTATGCCTGAAAAAGGGTTGGATTAAATTTTGCATCACTTCTAAAGGACAGTGTGACTGTGATATTATCTTTGTATCTCTTCTTAGAGCTCAGTGTGCACCTTGTGGCCAGCGTAGGACACTGAACCCTAAAACTTGCAAATGCGTCTGTGATTGGAGTGAGGAGAAGTGTCATAAAAAGGCACAGAAATTTAACAAAGAGAAATGCAGGTAAGATACACTCTGAACGAAAATTTGGAGAACAATCCTTTGTGATGGATAATATCACCTGGATAACTGAGGCCACAGTTAAAGTACATGCAGTCCAAATACATAAAATGTAAACAAACACCACAATCTAATCAGAGAGCTGATGGCATGAGGTTTCACCTCTACTTAAACTTCCAAATGTAAGCATCGTTAGACGCACATAAACTTCCAAGATAAATGAAAATGCAGTACTGGTTAGTCACGCCCAAGGCAAATGCCAAGTTTGTCTTGGGCTAAATACATCAGTGGCCTAAAGGGGTATCAGCTAAATCAGTTGTGTGGGGTTGTTGTATCTTGGTTCATGCAGAGGGAGCCAGCCTGCATTTTGGATCTGAACTGCCCTTTTTATGTGAGATCAGCCTGATATGCAAATGGTTTAGGTTCCCTCTGTAATGGTGCAAGATGAGCTAAAACGAGCTTGAGATCTGAGGAGGAATGGAGGGCAAACTAGCTGTTGTTTGTTAGTATTCTCTTGTACTCTGTTTTAGTTGGAATGTGAAACTTGTTCCTTGCTGTCCATTTTGATGGTACAGATTTTTTGTGTATTGTGTCATCGAAATTTCTATAGATCACTCACTCTGTGTCTCATTTCTCTGCAGGTGTGAGACAATCACTAGTTGACAGTCACCTTGGTAATAAAATGACACGTTTCACTACAATGGTAAATACAAGACCTTGTGCCACTGATCAATTCAAAGAAGGACAGAGGGGAGAGTCCACCATTGATTCCTGTGTGGAGATACCAAGAAGGTGACTGTGGAATAACAGCTGAACATTCGATACAGTGACGTCAGTCAAGGAGAGATTAAACATGGCTACCTCAGCTTCATGATATATTTAAAGTCATGACGATGGCTTAAGTGGTTCAAGGAAACCATGACAAACAAAATGAGCATAACCGAGACAAGTTACTAGCAAATTGCATATTATTTTTATTTTTTAAATGGCTGCTGGAATTTATATCTCACGTTACAAACAAGCCCTATCAGCTTCTACTTCCTACCCAAATATTACAGAGGGTTATATTACCAAGTGTTCTAACTGAAAGGGTTGCTTTGAAAAGGAGCAAGGGTTAATGGGGGTTATTGCTACTTTTGTTAACCCCTCTTGGCTACTTTTATCAGTACATGGATAACCCTAGACAACATGTTTACTCCTCTCTGGCACGGGAAATGGGTAATCACTGAGTTTTTGTCACCTATAACTAAATTTTTATGGATACTTTAGATCCCAAACTTTCAAGCTTTTTGGATTTGTTTGTGTGTCTATTGTGCAACCTATTAAAACATTTCTCAGTCTGATTGCGTATTAGTACTTTTCATTAATATAGATGTATATTAATGTATCGAGCCTTTGACCCAAGACTTTACATACAAAAGACGTATGTATCAATCAACTGGAAAAAGACACAGAAGAAATTAAGAAGAAACGAGAATTTATTACAATAAATTTGTCTTGGTTTCTTAGAAATAAGGATGATGCTATAAATAACATTTAAAAAAATTTTGCTTATAGAACAGGGGGTAAAACAGTGGAGCTATAGACCACTTTTTTGTCTATGGTCACTCCACTTCTAGAATTTTGCCAGTTGTCTATTATTAAAAAAATTAGAAATCTTCCACTATTTTTGTTGCACTTACAGATATCTTTGTTTATAGAGAAGGTTTATACATCATTGATTTGAGGTCCAATTTGCTCAGGCAGCAGAAAAGGCCAGATTCAGGTATTCAGATTCTGTATTAGAGGAACACTTTTTCCACCAATTCCAGAAGAATATTGTTTTGGGAGGCTTTATTGGTGGGATATATAGAGAATGGGGTGGGGGGAAGCATGGACATTGTTCCAATTCTGTGGGCGCTAGATTACATGCAGCAGTGGACCTACTGCCAGGGAGGCAACACCAGGGCCTGCAAGCATAAGGGGGCAATTGGTGTGGCCTCAGAGAGACACTTAGAGTCCCTTGATAGGCTTGTTTGATCAGGAGCCCTGTCAGGCGTTGTATCCCACTAATAGAGGCCTGGACCTTTGATAGCATGGCTACCCTCAAGGAGGTCCGGTTGTTTGGTCTGGTTGGAAACTGGACCACATTGTGGATCTGTGAGAGCACAGCCTCCCCTCACACTGGGAGGATGTAATGTTTGTTCACTTCCTCCTTGTGCTCAAATTAAGTTGCACACAGCCCAGCAAAGCCCCCTGAGAGCTGCTGGTGCCAGTTTCCCTTTGGACCACAGTGATGTCACCTTCCTGGTAAAAGGTAGGCAAAGAGAAGGGTGGCTAAAACTACATAAATCCCCATATCTGAGTGTTCTGAGTTTGTGTGTGATTCTGTCAGTGTTTGTTGGTGTGTGTCTGCCGCTGTGCATGTATGTGTGTCTAGCAATGTGTATGTGCCTGGCTGCAGTGGATGCGTGTTTATATTTGCCTGTGCATGGCTGTGTATGTTTGTTAGTGTGTGTATCTGGTGTCAAATATCACCGCAGTTTGCCCACGGTGCTGGGACGAGGTTAGTTAAGGTCACTTCCTCCTAGCTAAACAGAATGCCGTGTTGAGGCAGTGAAATGAGGGGGGAGGCAGAAAAAGGAGAAGGTCTAAAGATCAAGAGGGCCTAGAGAGCCAGACTCCCAACAGCATCAGCCATCTCCAGATCCAAATGGACATCCAGTGAAGCCACCCCTGCACACAAAAAGCTATGGAAACAAGAGGGTGGCATGGATGTGTGCCAGAGTGTGAGTGTGTGTATATATATATATATAAACTGACGTGTCAGTGTGTTTATATGTATGTGCGTCTGTGTGTGTCTCAGTGTGTATGTGTATCTATGTCAGTGTATATGTGCTGGCAAAGCATCATGGAAGATGTACGACAGATGGGGATCTACCTTTGGCAACCCATGAGTAATAAGGACCCTCTCTACATTAGTTCTGCCACTGATTAAAGGTAAAATTAACTGCATCTTTTTGTAATTAAAGTTTTTATTGAAACTTTTCACTAAAACAATAATGAACATGCAGAGATAGGTTACTCAAACCAAGGTGAAATTTATGTCAGGAATGACCAAATAGCCAAACAGTAGGCAAATGTATAAACAGTACCAAGAATAATGAGGAAGAAGAGCTACTGCTTGTACAAAAGTGGAAGGCAGAAGAAGAAAAGGAGAAGGGCCATATATTAAAAAGGGGAATGAGATATTTGAGGGAGAGGAAGATTAAGAAAGGCAACCTACACCGGGATTTCTAAAACTTTAGAATTTTTTAATTTTTTTAAGGGTGGCGGAGGCACTAATCTAAACTAAGAAAGGAACACACTAAGTTTAAAAATAAATACATTTAACATTAGTATGTTTATATAATTTCACCACGTCTTCTAAAATAGAGGTACTCTAGGAAATGACTTTTCTCCACTATTTATAAAAAAAAAAAAAAAAGCCCTGCAGTTTGGATGAGCATGACCATTCCTTTAGAAAGGACAGATACTGTAGAAGAAGACTGGCACATGCCACTTTTCAGTTTTTAAAGAACCACATAACAATAAGTCTTAAAAAACATTGTGAGAGCGTGTCTGAAGACAGCAGAAGAACTTCTGTGATGGAAGTGCATTCCCCTTTATATATATAAAGATATATATATATGCCAATAAACCATTGTACTACATCGGCAGAGATAGCTACCCAAATGTCTCATCACCTCCCACATGGACTGGTTGGTCTATGGAAGAGTAAGATGTCAGGCGTCCTGCTCAGAGACTACAGCCCTGCTGTTGTGGCCTTAAAGAGACTCTACAGTTACCTGTTTGCAAAACATTGCCAGACATGGCAAATGTGCCCTATAGCCAAATCTGTCATGGTGTCTATTAAAGCCAAATTGTCCAAGAAGAATGAGAAATCATCTGGAGAATGAGAAAGCACTTCATTGTCTCTCAGTTTTCAGGCTATTTGTTCTCTTTGGCAGTCAGTAAACCCATGCTGCAACTAACTGTGCAAGGAATTTTGAAACTTACCTCAAACCTCACTATATAACGTCTTGCCGGTTTTACCAAAATTAATAGAGCAGATTATAGTATTACAGACCAATGTTAGCTCTACGATGGACCTAACAGTCTGTTGAGGCTTAACCTAGTAGGCAGTAGACACTGTGAGCTCTTCCCGTAACATTTGGATCAATGCTAAGTACTTTCTGTTAAGTGTCAGTGAGGCACAAAGTACTAAAAACAGAAGTTCTGTAAAAAGCACACAGAAATTATGTTAAATTACCATGTTTCAAACTTCCATGAAGATTTCATCAAAAGATACCATGACCTAAACTGAGTTCCTGATAAGAATTTTGAAAACAATGAATACTTAAAGACACATGACGGAAATTTTTCTTCATGGTTCCCTTTTATTTCTGAAGCTGTGTCCTTAAAGGACCACTATAGTGCCAGGAAAACATACTCGTTTTCCTGGCACTATAGTGCCCTGACGGTGCCCCCACCCTCTGGGGGGATGAAGGGGTTAAACTTACCTCTTTCTCCAGCGCCGGGCGGGGAGCTCTCCTCCTCCTCTCCTCCAAGAGCCGCGCGCGCATTCGGCCAGTCTCATGGGAAAGCATTTACAATGCTTTCCTATGGACGCTGGCGTTTTCTCACTGTGAAAATCACAGTGAGAAGCACGCAAGCGCCTCTAGCGGCTGTCAATGAGACACCCACTAGAGACTGGATTAACCCTAATATAAACATAGCAGTTTCTATGAAACTGCTTTGTTTATAGAAAAAATGTTTAACCCTAGCTGGACCTGGCACCCAGACCACTTAATTAAGCTGAAGTGGTCTTTGTGCCTATAGTGGTCCTTTAAGGGGATATAGAAAAAAATACAAAAATACAAAAAATACAAAAATAATAGATTAGAAATAATAAATCAATCAAAATAAGTTGTCCTAACTTCTTCGTCACTATCAGGGTACATCAATATTTTCAAATTAATATTTTCCATTATGATAATGGTGATACTACAAATTTAAATATTTTAAAAACCTTTTTATGTCATTTCATATAGTTAGCTTTTGAAACCAATTTTCTTTGGCACAAGCATTGTACATGATGGCACTGTGTGCCTGATGTACATTCACACTGAACAGTCAGCTTGAGAACTTAATTGTCACTTCTTAGTATTTCATGAATATATAATCTGTGAAATACTAATGCGGACTATGTTGGAATTTCATTATTATTCCAATGCAATCCATAGTGATTATAAGACAAACTTGGGACCACCTTGTCTTATGGTATAGCCTGAGAAGTCTGCCATATATGTTTGTCCAACCCTGCAACCATTACAAGTGACAGGTGTTGGATTCAGTCATCGTCTTGTTCATTGCAAAATATGATCGATAGAGGCCTCGCCATAGACCTCAGCCTCCCGGGACTTGTAGAACCTGCCGTAGACCTCAGCACTCTCCCTGCTTAACTCCCTTGCGCGCACAGCAGTGATGCTGGAGCCGTAATATGACGTCACTGCATCCCCTGGCATCACTGAGAGGTGTGCGAGGGAGCTGAGCAGGGAGATCAGAGCTAAATTGACAGCTCCAGCAAAGGTATGGAGGTTGGATGGATTGAAATTAAAAAATAAATAAATCAATTGTTAGCGTGCGTGCCTGTTAGTGAGTGTTTTAGTGTGTGTGTGTGTGTCTGTTGGTGAGTGTGTTTGTGTGTTTGTTAGTGAGTGTGTATATGTGTCTGTCAAAGAGAATGAGTCAGTGAGAGTGTGTGTGTCTGTTAGTGAGTGTGTTAGTGTGTCTGTTAGTGAGAGTGTGCATGTTTGTTAGTGAGTATGCATGTGTCTGTTAGTGAATGTGTATGTCTGTAAGTGTGTGTATGCATGTCTGTCACCGAGACTGTGTATCTGTCAGTCAATCTATAGGTCTGTTAGTGAATGTGTGTATGTCTGTGTGTCTGTCACTGAAACTGTATCTGTCAGTCAATGTATATGTCTGTTAGTGAATGTGTGTGTCTGACACTGAGTGTATATGTGTCTGTCAGGGAGTGTGTATGTGTGTTTGTCAGTGTGTATCTGTCAGTGAGTATATATGTGTGTCAGTGTGTGTGTCTGACACTGAGTGAGTGTGCGTCTGTCAGTGAGTGTGTATGTGTATCTGTCAGTGAATGCCTGTCTGTCAGTTAGTGTGTCTGTCTGTGGATGTGTGTGTCTGTTGGTGAACGTGAGTGTGTGTGTGTCTGTCAGTGGGTGTATATGTGTGTTTGTCAGTGTGTGTGTCTGACACTGAGAGAGTGTGTGTCTGTCAGTGAGTGTGTATGTGTATCTGTCAG